ATTCGTCAATCGAAATACGACTTATTCACTCTTGTACTGTACTAAACCAATGACGTTCGACCGATCTGATCAGCCTAGCGTCGTTATTGGTCCTTCGCTCGCATAGCCCTTCCAGTTGAGTCCAGAACACCAATAACAGCTTCCTCTATGCGAATCATTTATTTCAGACATACTTGGTTTATACACCAACCAAACAGACCGCATCGCACCATAAAATAGGTAATAACATTTATACAAAATAAAGCCAAAAGTGGCTGTGAACGTGGGAAACTGTAATCAATAAACTGAACATAACTTAAGAACAGTAAATCGTATAATAATAATCTATAGGTCAAAATGAAACTTATAATAAGGGGAATATAGATATACATAATCTAATCACTGAATGGTCGTTTGTGATAATATTAGATGAAACATTTTATAGTAAACTACTTAACAGATCTTTATGAACGATGTGTCTTGAGAAGAACTTGCTTGCATAACCTAATGACTCAGTCGTCAGATAACACATTACAAAGGTGACTAAACCTCAAGTCTTTTTGCATTGTATTTCAAAGTCAGTTGATGCTATAACAGCCTTAATTAAAGAGCTACAATCTATACTTTATTTAAGGCCTTTAGTTCACCAAAACTTTGACTTTTGGTTGAACTTAGTCAATCTAAGAAGTAAAGATTACTGTTATAACTGTTAGAGATAATCACGAGGTTATAAACTACTGTTTTTTTCCAACCTTTCAAAATACTTCATCATCTGCATACAACCCCATTGATCTACGTGACTAAAGATGCTTGATAACCTATTAATTTCTTGTAAATTGCTTTGGTAAAAGTAAATAAATAAACAATTCTAAATGAAATATGTTTCATTTTTATTTTATAGTAAAATGTTTAAATCTTATTACTTAAATACGCATTGTAGTCCATATTTATAATTGCTTACTGGGTTTTTGTCTTATTGATACTACGTCTTGAACATTCTTTTTAACTAACTGGAGGATTTATTTATGTATGTATGTCATAGAGAAAGAAGCCAGTACTGTACAGCTCTCTTTCATATCACGAAACCATGTCACACTGTTATGACTGTGAAAAATGTTGCTGATTAAGGGGTAGCGAATTATTGATCGGACCAAAGACGCGCAAACACGTAGAACGACCTAGGGTTCTGATTGGCCCCGCTTCCCTGTCTAGCCCAGCGAGTTAAGTCCAGAACGCAAGTCTCAGCCTCGGATATATGAATCATTGTATTTCAGACATACTCTATTTATATACTAGCCAAACAGACCACATCGTACCATAAAAATAGAAAACGACATTTGTACAATATTTAACGAATTAAATAAATAATGGCCAATAGGAAATGTTCATTTAACGTCCAAGGTCATCATTAGACTTAACATGATAATGATTGGCACATTATTCCTCAGCTTCCCTAACACCTCCCCTTTTTTTCGAAGATCCGGAGTTGATTTCCGGATTTTAAAATTTTCTGCATCCGTCCTCCCCCGCGAAATAACGTTGGGTCCTCATATACCCAAGTAACAGCTAGTCTGATTCTATTTAAAGCATATTTCCCGCATTGGGTAGAGAGTCCACTAGGACTGACTAGATGTTGAGGATCAGCGACACTAGACATGAGGTCATTAAGTTTTGATTTTTGTGAAACATATTCATCAGACCTCTTCAAAATTCCATTAGTGGATAATAGATCACTAAAATAAACAGCATCTATCAAAATTGTATTAGATTTCTGACCATTATTTGATGCATGGGACACATTTTCTGGCAAAATAAGAGGATCTTTTCGTGAGCTGGATATGCTACTGTCTGTACATGCTGTTTCGGGGATGATGGAGTTTGACTCCATTACCGGGCATGTTTCTGGAATGGAAAGAACTGGACCACTGGGCGTATCATGGATGACTGCCGTTTTGTTTGAAGTACAGTTTATCGAGGATTCATGGAGGCTGCTGTCATTTTCCAGCTCACTGTGTAATTGAGATATTAATCCATCCACTTCCGTCGCATCTTCATAGCATGACTGGCTTAGCAGCTGCGTGCGGAATTTGACTAATAACTCCAAATGTTTTTCAAAGAGCAGCTGTAATCGATCGGAAGGGAGTCATTTTTTTCTTTGAATCAGCACCGTGAATGAAAGTTACTGTATGAATAATGGCCAATGTCGTTCAAGGACACTGATAACCATCTGGATACTGATTGGTTGAATAATTAGACTGGATTTCGTCTAATTACAGAATGACTTTGGATTGTATCTTTTCTTCACCTCGTCGCCAGTTGTTATAACTGTGAGAGGCTAGGTTTCACTAGCATAGAGCAAAACTGTTTTCACCAACACGTTATAGACCCGACATTTACAGCCAGACTAACATCACGAAGGTACCAAAGATGGCCCAGATTGGTATAAGACATTCTGGCTTTCACTATACGTGGATTGATCTCATCATTCACGCCACCATCACCAGCATTTATGCAGCTACTTAGATATACGAACTCCTCAACTACTTCTGTCCGCTCACTACTCAGGGTGAGTGCAAGTTCAGAGTCCTGCCAGTCTTGTAAAAGCACCTTGCACTTGGAAAGTGCGTAGCATATACAATACCTAGGGACACTGAATAACTCGGAAGTAGACTTATCCCCCGATAGTTGTTACAAAAACGACATGAACCGTTTTCAAAGATAGGTACGTCATCCGGGCCCGGTGATTTGTAGCGCTTCAAGAGTTGAAGTTCCTTGATGACTTCCGCCTCATTTGGTGGATCAGTCGTCACCGGCCATGGAGGGCTGGACAGTCTGACCGATGTTGCCGGAGCAGCAGACCCGTTGAACTGCCTTTCGAAAGGCTCTGCCTATCGTCCAAGACGTCGATGGATGTTAATGATTGACATCATATCGTCCTCATAGATTGTTTAGCTCACACCAGACTTCTTGCTGCCAGTGACTCGGATGAGTTGGAAGAGCATCCGGTAGTTACCAGATGCAGCTGCTGCTTCCAGCTCATTAGAACGCTCCGACTACCAGGCTTCTCGGTCCTTACGCAAGCTTCTCCCGATTTCATTACGTAACAGCCTTCGTTTGTGATCAAACTCTCGGTGACACGGAGTAGACCGACGAGCTTCAATGAGTTGTAAGGAACCAGAAGAAACCCAGTGCTTATAAGTGGGATGTTTCGCGAAGCTGCAAGCGACTTTACTCACGATTTTCATGGCGTCATGCAATTGCAACCAATGCTCATTTTACTTTTCGGTGGGGTGGTAGATAGTTTTGAACCTAGCTCGGTTTATTATTTACTTGCGAAATAAGCTGAAACCAATTTACTGACATCGATCCGCTTGGTACGATGAGTTTCCCAGCCACTGAAAAGTAAGGCAAGATTATCGCAAACAAGGGCATGATCAGAGTTCAGATAGGTACTCCAAGAGGAGCATAAGTCTTGTACACAACCACGCCAGCGTAGCTGATCGCGATGTGATCAATCTGAGTCGAGACTTGAGATGCGAATGAGGGATACTGGGTAGCACATCGGCGATGACTGTATCGGTAGTCAGTGCTAGCCAAAAACAGGTCGTGGTCTGCACACAGTTGCAGTAAATGGTCCCCGTTATCTAACCTGCGACCAACAAGTCCCCATCAGCCACCTAAACGACTCTCTTCTGTGCCTAGACGCTCGACCTGAGCATTCAAGTTTCCGACTATTACTACAATATCTGTCGAACGCACTTTCTGGAGAAGAACAGTTAACTGGCGGAAAAACCTATTCTTGGTCGCATCCAGGCTGCAATCTGTCGGAGCATAGGTGGAGATAATGAAAAGACAACGTTTCTCACAATGATTTCTCAATTTGATGGAACATTCTAATCTAACAGCAATAACCGACTGTCAGTGGCGATCCAATCGATCAGTGTTGCCTCAGTTCCAGTGATAATGTCGAAGGGAACCAGTTTGAATGGTATACGTGGTTTCAGAAAGACTGAGTATTCGTATTTGGTGGTGGATTTCAACTTTCAGTCAGTCAGCGACTTGAAATTTTTTTAGGTAGGACAAGGTTTTCACCGTAGGTGAGCTTCTGTATAAGTTGAAAAATAAAATACGCAAAATAAGAATAAAGGGGAGTGCATAAGTAACATAGTAGTCTGAGTAACCGTTGAAACAAGAGAAAACTTTCCATTCGTACTTGTCATTGGTTTGTATAAGGGCTTTGATACTGCCCGGGCGTCCAAACCGAAGCAGGTGATTTTCTCTAGGGGCCACACCCCAAGCCTTTGACCTGAATGGCCAACCCACAAGGCAGTGTAGTAATGCCAGGAGATGCAGTCCCCATGATGGCCAGTGACCAACAATAGGTTCATACGCCATTTGTTCCCTCATGATCCTGGAGCCCATGTACACCATTGGTTGGGAATCAGGGTTTCCCAACATTCATTTTTCGTCTCCTCAATTTCGTGAACAACACCCCGGTTACGAGGAGGCAGTGAGTAGGACTTCCCTGGCAGTTGTTATGGACGTGGCCATATGAGAGAATTTCGAGAGGAAGAGCAGACTCACCCCACCTTCGGCCATACCAGGGCAAACTTGGATAAGTTACTTCATCATCTACTTTTGAATACGATGATCAATTAAGTGAATTCTTATAAACATAGGACAACAGTAATAATATAATAATATGTATTCATTTTGTCGCTAACTGTTCACAACCTATTGTTCAGTTCTTGTCATACTATCGCAATTTTTGTTGTTTCTTGACTAAAATTTATAATATACAATAAATTCACCGCAACTGTAAACGACTACACTTTGGATTTCCAATGAGCTTACGTTTAGTCATGATTTCGTATTATGTAAGGGGTTAATAGTTACCATTCTTAAATGTCTATTACTACATATCAGTATATGATTATTTCTCTGGACATTTAGAACCTTAACTTTGAAATCCGTTCTGAATCTGACGAATACCTTTGCTTTAATTTTCTTATTACTTTTAGACAATTGTCCTAAATTTGAAATTCCCGGTAGAACCTTCCCAGTGAAGACATATTATTTAGAAGATGTTTTGAGAGAAACTAAGTAAGCTGACTTCGTGTAATAATATTATAATCAATAATCACCCGGTAAATCGCACTCTTCAGTCACTATAAATATTTATTTGTAATGTTTCTTAAGTAATAATGTAACATCGACGTATAATTCCTAGTCTTGTTATGAGGATTACGATTGTAGTGTTATTCTTACGTGTATTATTCTGCTTAAATATTGTCTCATACTAGATAATTTCATTAATCAATGAATACTCGTTTGAGTACAGATTGTCACACAATAATCTCATTTTATGCTCTTTTCCCTACTATTTCATAAAGCTTATATTTTTATTGGTTCCAGCGGTATTCACTTTCGTTTCTGAGATTTGATAACTAATCCACACCGCACACTGAAAGAAAGTGACTTTTCAGTTTCCCCTTTTTTATTTTTATAATTAATTAAAATATGTTCTGTAACTCGTTATTACTTATATTTCAAGTGTAGAAAACCTAACTGATATCGTTTTGATAGTGAGGAATTTAACTAGTTAGGCTTCAAAATGAAAATTTGCCTAATATTTAACTTTTAATGAATTCTTGAGTGACCATTAAAACTGACAGTATAGGTTATAGCTGATTTTCTTTATGTAACTAAAACATCTTGATATTACGTTAGTTGCTTCCTATATACTATAGTGATATGTTTGATCTATTTATTTTTGGTTTACATCTGTAAGTTTTTCTATTGATTATTAACTTTGTTTCTACATTCTTTATCATTTAGTATCAATTGAGTTTGGATTGAAACTTTTTATGAATTTATTATTTCTCTTAGATTTTGGTTGCCAAATAATGCTATAACCGCTTTATGCCGTGATCAATCACGTACATTAAAACAGCGTCTTTTAAAATCTAATCTTTCAAAAAAAGAAGCTCGTATATTATCTTATGGAAAAAGCCCTGAATTCAATAAATGGTTGCATTCATTAACAGGGTATGTTAAAGTTTTTAGAAAGAAAAAATATCTTTCATTGGCTTTTTCCCTCTATAATTTTCCGCGATATGAAAATATTGCTTTTTTGAAAAAAAAGTGTACCAGTTTCCCTCAAATGCCCTGGTGCATCTGGTTATGAGGAGAGTTATTTCCCCCTCTTCAAGTGCTCTCATATTCACACACATTCACAGTCCCTGTTACGGAAAGTTTTTCTCATAAATTCCATGCGGTGGGTGTGTTGTTAACAAAAGTGAAAAAAAGCAAACTTCAGGAGCTCAAACTGGGAGGGTGGATACTCAGGTTGTGCCAAGAGGAGTTGGAGAACCCTAGTTCCAAATTATTGGTGTACAAGGCCTCTAGGATCCTGATGATACGAACGGCATATGAACATATTTATGGTCACAGGGTACCATGAAACATCGTTTCCCAATATTGCTCCTTCGCGTCATGGAATAGACCTTTAGGCCTAAGATTCGAGGAATGAACCCTCTAAGGAAACAATCTGCTTTCGTTTGAGCGCCTGAATGATATTCCAGCCCATATCCAAGTATTCTTTGTGGTTTATACTATTTTTGGTACCCAGTTGTACCAGATTTTCTGTGTTTTCTGTGTTCACTAACTCATTGACACAGTTATCTGGTTTCACATTTAATATGGCTTTCTCCACAGGAGCAGTTTAATTCGTAGCTACACATGGATGTAACAAAATCAGGTAACTTATCCTTTATCAATCACCATAAGTGGGCTAAAAAAAGATAGACAGACTTTAGCTGCAATAAAAGTCCTCTTCGCTTTAGTCACTCTATTTCTTAGTACATCTCTAGCCATATCTTCGCCAAATCGTAGCTTCAGGAAGATAGGTTTCCTACTAACCGTTGATTTCACTCTTTTCCTGTCCGTTTTTGCCAACTTGCGTCTACCAACCAAAGGACGGGTTTACTGCGCAGCAGTTCGTTCCGTTCTTTATGGCAGTGAAACATGGCCGGTAAGAGTAGAGGATATTCGTACGTTACTAGTATTTGATCATAGGTGTCTTCGAAACATTGCTCGTATATCCTGGGACCATCGAGTAAGTAATGCAGTTGTTAGGAAACGGGTACTAGGTAAGGATGGCAAATCAATTGATGAAGTAGTGAAACGTCATTAGTTGAGATGGCTGGGACATGTGTTACGTATGCCCAACCACCGACTGCCTCGACGTGCGATGCTCAGTGGTATAGGAGTAGATTGGAAGAAAGCTAGGGGCGGCCAGACCAAAACATGGCACAAGTCTATGAAGTCACTGACAAGTGGACTGAGTCATGTTGGTAGGTGTAGACTACCTGGTTGGGGACCGCGAGATGACAGCAACCGATGGTTAGAGACCCTGAATGACATGGTTCAAAATCCTTTGCCATGGAGCGCGTGCATCCACTTTTCGTGTTCTCCCAAATTCTAGTTTTCTGAATTCTTCATGTCCCTTTTTTCTCTTTCCAAATTTATTTCACTGGATTATACTCCTTGAATGACATTTTCAAACCCTAATCTTTCCAGTCACTGCTTATACTTTTACTACCTTTACCACTATGGGATTTGAATCGACAATTGTATTGATTTGCTAATGTGGTATGGCAACTCGAACTGATGTATGTACGTCCGAAGTTCTACGTTGTTACTGACTGACTGACTGTATAACTAAATATGACAACCCGAAATGCAATAGATATTTTATTTTTATTTCTAACATACCAAATTCTTCACCCTCTTCAAGTATATTCTTTACTCTCCAATTATTTAAGTACTTCTTTCTACACAAATTTATATTTTTATATTTTGTTATGTCACTATGTTTTTTTCGCATCGTTTACTTTTTATCATGAAGCTGTGTTTCAAGCCCTTTTTATTCTTATCACTAATATATCTCTACTTGTACTTTCTACCTATGCTATATATTTTTTCTTTGTTCCTTTTTACTATTTAATCATGTGTTAATGTAATTCGTTTATTTATTTATCTACTCTGAAGAAGAAGGTTTACATTTGTGTGTGATGTGCGGGAAGTTTAATTTTCTGCTAACTTGGATATTACAAATACATCATTTATTTTTTAAACATTCTTTATAATTCTCAGCTTTAAAAGTATTAAACCAAATTTTGTTAATGATGACTACATGTTTTGTATTCGTCAAACCATTCGGTATAATCGACCATTATGAGTTTAATGATTTTCGCTACTTTGTTGGGTGGTTTCACTAATTAATCAATGATGGAATTTGTTTGCAAACTTCTTACTAAAATTTGTATTTAATTGTTATAAGATGGAAGTAGGTTAGACGTAGCGTCATTTTCAGTAGTGGTAACTGTATCATTTGTTTATAAACACATGTTTTATTCTTATTCATCGTCAAATGTACTATGAAATATACACTGATAACTGAGGCACTAGCAAGATTAAACATTCGGATGCCTTAATTTTGTTAAGCACTTTTATTTCTCTCGTTTTCAATATACCTGCCTTATTTTTAATTCTTACCTATACTTTTATGAGTTTATTGATCTCATGTGACATTTTTCTATTGTTTTCTGTAATTACCCCTTTTATATTCACGTATTTTAAGTTCATGGTAACGTTTTTTGTAATCAAGCATTAGACTAAACGTTTTGTTATAATGTAACTGTACAGTTTGATTATACAATAAATTCAAGGAAATTCTCCACTCTTGATACTAATTAGCCGTTTCAACTCAATGATATCGTACATGTTCATAAACTGGACGTTTGATCTCACATTTTTATGGTAGCTAGAAACGTTATTCAATCGTCTAGTGGTTGTAAGAGTTCAGTAGAATATTCTGTATAATTGTTTGTACTTGTCAATAGGGAGTATCTACATACTTGAAGGAACCTAGTGCTCCATTAGGAGCCCAAACCTAGTTCACACGTTTTGACAGCAAAAGATCACTCTGATATATATCTTAGCACCTCAAATCTGGTTGGTAGAAATTAGTCAGTAGTAAAAGCAAAACATTTCTAGTGCATTCTATATAGAAATTTATTAGGTATATTTTCAGGGTTACCCTGAAATATTCCCAACGCAAGTAGATTCTATACTGCAATTAATGAATAGTGTTCAATCTATCTATTAGATTCTAAATCATATCAACCTATCTACATCCGCCATGATTAGCGTTTTTATTATCATTGTTATTAGATTTTATAATATGCATATGCTTATTTCCAAAGTAATAGGATCATCAGTTGATTTCATCGTTTAAATCTTGCAGTAACACAAATAAAACTATGTTGAAATCGTGTTCCTTTTTTGTAGGAAAAATTCCGACTTTTTATGCTTTTGTTTCTGTAACGAACTAAATATAAGGTTACTTAGTACTAATATGATCAGTGGTGTTATATTTTGATTAAGGGAACTATATTTTTCTCAAATTTATATACTAACCAGCTTTACAGTTGTATAAGCCTTCTTTCCTTTAATCAACTAAAACATACTCCTTGACCAAAAGTGAAATTTGAATTCTCCCAAACAAAGTGCAGAAATTTTCATCAGCTTTTCCTGAGATCAATCAATTTTGCAATTTTCATTTATCTATCTATATTTTTAATCTTTACAATACAGATTTTATAAGTTTTTATTAAGTTAGTACCCTCCATTTTCTGAATTACGCTAACTAAATATCTAGATGAAAACCACTTAAATGTTGGTGTGTTGGAAAAAATCACTGTTCTCCTGATGTTTGAAAGTACAAGAAAATCTAGATGATGATTTAACTTCAATTTCCCAATACATATTTCTATATATTTTGTCATAAGAATAAAGAAGCAATAACTTTCTGGAAATTAACATTTTGCAATTATTATGTACATTATTATTAATATTTATCAAATACAGTCTAACTTTTGCATATACTAGTTACCAGCTTAACCGTACATCTTGGTATTATTTATTAAAAGTCTCTAATAAAATTTTTGACTTTGAACATTCAGATTATCGTCCAATGCAATAGAAATTTTACGTAGTGTTGGAGAAGATACCTATCCTCAAACCGATCTTATTGCACATTCAGTTGAGCATATTTTACAGAATACACAATCGGGTGCAATACTTGTTTTTGTTCCAGGTCTTGTCGTAAGTCATCATCTTTGTGGTGGTGTTTGATTTCACTATAAAGATTGATATGTATGTACAATTCAGTATTTCATTACAACTAATTTTTTCATGTTTTAGATGCGATACCATGTTATCTTACATCGTTTATTCACGATTGTTGATAACTTCTCTTGGTTGGCTAACTGTGATCAAATAACTTGATTGCAGATTAAGTGATGTTTTTGTTGGTGTTGTTGTGTAACGAGTGATTGTAAATTTTTTGATATTTTTACTCTATACAGCGTCTAACCCTGATCAGTAATCAACTTGAAGCTCAGTTTACGTGAAATATGTCTTATATAATTAAATTAAAATGCCGGAAATTTCTAAAGTTAGTACAAAAAGATCATAAATCTTAAGTTTTAAATGTGTCCCTCAAAATTTGTGCGTGTCAAGAAATCCAACTAATGAACTTTTTTCATACTCAAATAGATATTCAAAAACATCCTGAACTTGAGTAGTGTGGTGTATGCTACTTATGTTGACAGATACAAGTGGTATGTAGCAGCGATCAGAAGTGGACTGCCTGAGAGCAGATGTACAAATAATATACTTAATGCATGATTTTCACATTCTACTAAACTACCGCGTGATTACGCATCGAACAAGAAATTAGCTTCTCCCACCTGAATGTTCATTCACTACAGTAGTATTGTATTTTAAAAATATTTATTTTGATTGCTTTTCTGGGTTTTCGATACTGTAAAGAAGTTATTAAATGAATTCACTTAAACAAATTTAGCTTCAAAGTAAGTGGCATTATACACTATGGTGCCAGTTCGACAGGGTTATATTAAAATTACCATTAATAAATATCAAACCATTTTATTTCTATTAATTTCTTGTGTGCATCTTTTTTTTCAACTTAAAGTTCCACTGTTTACTTCATTGATTATGTTTATCGCTTACTAGGACATAAAAGATGTAATCAGATGTTTGCGTGAATTAAATCCAAGACGATATGATGATCGTTATGGAAGTGTTAGAATTTATCCATTACACTCAAGAATCCCCACGTCTAGAGATCGCTCACTGTTCGAACCCTCACCAAAAAATCAAAGAAAAGTGATTATAGCAACTAATATCGCTGAAACGAGGTCAGTGAAGATTTATCACTACACTTTATTTCAATGTACGGCTGTTTATCCATCTATCTATCTGTTTATATGTTTTTTTTTCAAAAGACCGTCGAAAATATTTGCTATTAATAAAATCGCACAGTAATAAGTAAATTACGATACATGTATGAAAATAAATAAGGTTAAATTTTATGACATATATTCCAACAAATGACTACAACAAACGGCGATCTTTTACACCAGTCCCATCTATTATAACAATGACATGCTGTGAAGTAGACGTATGACAAAAATCTGATAAAAAGTCCAGCATGAAATAAAATGTGGAGAAAGTAGTTGCATTGAGATTTGAATGATTCAAAGAGAAATTAGGATTAAATACATTTGTTCAGTACTAACTATTGAGTTTTCTTATCTGTCTAATACCATCTATTAAGCTTATAGTTTCACTGAGGTAGAACTAACGTTTTATCACTTTTGTAAATGATGGTAGCATATCTTGTTATATCTAACGATACGGCTTCAACTGTCATCCTGTTTTTCTTCATTGGAGTGCTCACTTTGTATGAGTAAAATATTTTGTGACCATTTCTCACGGAATCATGTGGATGCGGGATGAAAAACATTTAATTCGTTTATCATTACAGCTCATTTTAGTTCTTGACTCCGCATCATATGTTCATGGACCGCTTTCCTGTATGATGCTACACTCATGCCTAGATGTGGTTTTGAATGTTTCACCATTACTCCACGTATCAGTTGGTTACTGATTTCAGAACATGAAATTTAGTATGTTAAATATCGTTTCTCTGATAGTGTAGCAAGAAGACAGTTGATCTAAAAAATGTGATGTATTTGAGTCATTTAGATCAACCTGATCACACGTACATTTACATATTCAGGCGTTTTTATATGAAAACCAATAAAGGTTAATTAAATAAGAGTTCAATAAATATAACGTGATAATTAGAAAAAAATAATATAAAACGACAAGAAGTTATTACACCACGGTAGGTCTTAAAATGAATTAAAGACTACCAGGATAGATTCAATGTTAGAACAAACTACAATGTCAGTTGAGAATTGGTAATAATATTTTATAAACGGACAAGAGAATCTCTTAGCCTACTGATTTATCATTTACTTTTCAAAATTACAGGTAAGACTTATTAGATTCTGTCATTTTTTCTACTGATTGTTAATGGGTTCACAAGTTCAGTGTAAGGCTACATGTAAACCTGGATCAACCGATAACAATGAAAACATACTAAAAATATGATGCACATCTGCTACCTACTAACTGTCTATTTCTAAAGTGATTTTAGCTAACTTGTTATGTAAAAATGTAATACGTTTTGCTTTTGTTTGGAGAATTTGAGTGATCTGCTTTGTGAAAGTAAATACCTTTCTTTCTCTGTAGCATAACCATTCAAGACGTAGTTTATGTGATTGATTGTGGTCGTATCAAAGTGACAGATTATGATCCAAGACAAAACACATCAACTTTAACTGCGATCCTGGTTAGCAAAGCCAATGCAGCTCAGCGTTCTGGAAGAGCTGGCCGGTAAGGTTTCTTAATATAAAATTTCAAATGGCTTCGTGTTCTGTCTTTCCGACAAATTTTATCTCAAGGAAATTTAAATCTTGATCATGTTCTTTTTATTATATTATGCTAAATTAATTTGCAATATCAAAGTAATAAATACTTTGGTGGTAGAATACGTCAATCACAAATCAAGTTTCCTTAGTTATAAGGTATAGTATAATTATTTTAAATAAAATGGTATTTATTTAGTTTCTCAATAATCAATTATAATTTCAATGGCTAAGTCAGAGAGTTGTAGTTGATTTTGCTAAATATTCTAACAAAATCCTAGGTCATGAAGGCAATGTACAATAAGAAAACTGCTCTTCACTCGTACTCTATGGTTCATAATGTTCTCATAAGTTTATTACGAACGTAATGTAACTAGTCTAAAAATGAAATGTTTTTGATTAAATATCAAAGCTTCAAAAACATTTAACGGTTGTTAGCTCCTTTGAATACCATACTTGCTATCTGAAAAACGAAATCTGAAAAAATGTTAACGTTTATTTTCCAAGATATTCCTACATTTTGCGTGTATTAAACGTGTAAAATTTGTCTGTCGATTACTAAAATCAAATAGCGGGTTGTAATAAATTTTACATTTCCAAGTCATGCATCTTGATTATATTCTTTCTGTCAGTCTCGACAGTAATATTACCTGAAGACATTGCTTCATACATTTTTGGAGATGATAATTAAAGACTTACTTCATTCATTTAAGAATGTTACTGATTCACGTTCCACCATGCTGAACTGACCACTTTGAGTATCAGTTTAGTGTTATCTTGCTGTAATGATTTCAAATCCGTGGTGTACAATTATATTTTAGGCTTTAAGTTAATGCGAATGTTCATTATGGGTGTTCGCTAGAGAAACTATCTACTCAACTTTCAGCTAATGATTATGATTTAAAATTTAATCGGTTTTTATTCGAAACTATGAACCATACTTCAATACAAACAATCAAAAACGGTTTATGTAGGTCAGCAGCAGTAATACACTAAATATTAACCAATCCATTTACTACAAAGTCACCCAAATGCTTTAATATTCTCTTTAGTTTTTGTATGTAAGCCCTCTCACTTCTTGATTTTGAATTCCATTTAAAATAAACTTCAGTTGATTCCATCTGAGTTCTGAGATTTCTACACCTTACTTCGGCCTACCATCAATAACACGAACATTTAGCAATATTCGTACCTTGTTGATACCTGTGATTACCTATCTGTATCTGAACACTACTGCATCATTGTGATTGTTTATCACTTAAAAGTATTCGTTCAATTCTAAAACCGTTTCTAAGAATCGTAATTTGTTAATTGTACTTCTTAAATATAGCTTACAGATAAAGCAATTTACTTATTAGCGTGATAAGTTTTCATCACATTTTGTACTATACTGCAGGGAGTAAAAATTATTTGACCTAAGAACACTTTAACTATGATTTATTAATGAATTTGATATACTGATTCAATTGTTTATTCCTACGAATTAAGTCATTTCAGGTTATTTTGCACTAATATTTAATTCATTCATTCAGAATTTTTCATTTTAACATCATCTCGGTTGTCTAATTATTCACTTGTCAATTACCAACTATAATATCTATGTTGTTAGTAAAATAATTGTGTGTATGATGTTCATCGGTTTCATGTTCTAAGTAAAAAGTTGCCAAGTTACTTGTTATCATGACTGCAACTGTTAACTTTAGATGGATAGAGATCAAATATCTATGTACCGCTCCGGTTGATTTCAGACCACTTAAGCTATCCAACCAGTGATTCTGTTCATGTCATGAAATTAAACCAAGAATTCTACACCGAACATGTACCTCTCCTATAATCAATGAACTCATTTTCTGATTCAATGTCATTGAATTGCCGCCTATTGATCCTTTCTAACTTACATAATATCGTGTCTTTTTCAGCACTATTATTACGCCGATTCACTGTTATGACCTTGAATCGCTTTTACCCCGCCGATACTTTGCTATGACTTGACTTTGATCTGTCTAGTCTAGATTATGACCTTAACGCGATAGGCTGAGCGGCTTAACCTTGAGTCTAGTACGCGTGAGTTCGAGATGGGGTAGAGAGAGAACTATTCTAAAACCTGATTGGTTGGCAAGCACGCAAGTGAGAGAAGACAAGACAGTTGGAACACTGAATTCTCTGAATTCGGATTAGTGCAAAAAATGTACATGAATAGATAAGTGAATCTCCTTACCACACGTACGATAATTTGGAAAAATACAATTATGCCCGAAACTGGGAATTAGGGTAGAAAAGAAGATGCAAAATATTATGTTTAAATTACAATATTTTCGGAACAAAAAAGGGTATGGCAGTGAATGTTACATAGAACGAAAGCTCATGTTATGTAGAATAAAATAGGGACAAAAATAAATATGTGTTTTACAAGGTTTGAATGAAATGAAATAACGTCCCAAGAAAATAGCTTTCGTAGTTGTCTGAGCTTCTTATTTCCCCGTTCACAACATTCACGTGTACACGTTTTCCGGTTGATTTTTTTTTATTAGTTTACTCATTTTATTCATAGTGTTTACTAAAATTTATCAATGATTGGTTGATCATACTCTATTTTGAGTTCCAGTGCTTTGGAACAAAATAGATGAAACCAAATAACAAAAGGCACAAGAAAAAAATAAAACCGAGATAATAGATTATTTAGCCTGTCTATATGAACTCACTGATTTCTAAGTATGTCACTTAACCTACTTAAAAAAACCCAAACAATGATGGCTACATTTTTCTCACAGAGTTTGGATAAATAGCTAGTCACGTCTAACAATACACATAATGTGTTTGTGAAGTTCCAATGAGTAGAAAATTAAATTTCTAACGTTTTATGATTTGGTGTAAGCCACTTCTTCAAAGAGTAAAATAAATAAACGAATTTAGCACAAATTTAAATAGTGCCATTTTCTACTTATTAAAACGTTAAAAACATTATTTCCATTATTAACAATCTACACCATGTTCAATCTATTTGAAAATATCGAGTCAAATCTTGATAATAATCATTAAATATCTATATTTTTATTAGCGTCTAGAATATTGTGGTTTTATCATCATAAATCTGTTTTTACTCTCAACCTTCAGCTTAGCTATTAACGTGCAAGTGTCACTCATTGACTCAGTTGATCTAACGTTTCTACTCGAACTAATTATTTCCCTTAAATTAACTATCATTCCATCTTGACGAAAAGGTTCTTGGGTAGTGCTAGGAGTGATCAGGCAGTTTTCACTTTCCCGTTCCCTACATCATAGAATGCTTTTTCTTGTGTCACCTCATATTAGTGGGTTTTAAGTTTGCTACTTGCTATCTATCCTTTCTATTGTTATATTTAACTTACAGATCCTAAAAACTAAAATACAATGTAGTCGTGAATAATGATTACTTTATTTTCCACCATTTCTTCGTAATCACATATACTCTAGTTATTTTTAGCACACACAGAATCAGGATTTACAACATTCATTAGTGAATGTCTCCAATCGTATGATCATGTTTACGGATGGTGGTAGGGTTACTCATGTATTTACTTAAAATGTTCGGTATATTATTAATTGTCTAAAGAACTTTTTTTCTTTCTGCATCTTCCTTTAATTATTCCTAGTGTACAACCTGGCATCTGTTATCATTTATTCCCAAGTTATGTATACAATAATGTTATGTCAGATTTCCTACAACCGGAAATGTTACGTGTCCGTTTAGAAGATGTGATTTTAAGAATAAAAGTAATCAGAGCTATTTTGTATTTTTTCTAATATTTATTCTTCGAAACAATTCCTTTTACATACTGTATACCAACCGATCTCTTCTGTAATCCACATCAGTAAAATCCGAAATGTCCGTTTTGTCTTATTTAGGAACCTTCAGCTGGATGAACGTGGATACTAATTTTGATGTTTATGCTGTGATTTGAACCCAATACATTTCTCTCTGAACTCCAACGCGTTATACACTGAGCTGTGAATTCAAGATCGCTACTAAAGTGTTTTACAAATATAAATGTATTAGTAGTAGTTTTTTATACCCGTTTTTGACTAAATGGGAATAATGAGGCAATTTGCTGAGGATAAAAGTATGCCAATAGAATAATCAAGTCCACTCCTTAATATCAAAAACAGGAAAGCTCAAGCCCCTACATATATGTAGTAATTCGTTGATAAATTCCTTTAATTTCTCATATACAAATGTGTCTTTAACAATCATTCACGTACTGTAAAATCTTAGATCTCTTTTAAAATATCAAATAAACGTCACATGCAACAAATATCCCATGTTGACTCTTAACTGCTAAGGTTCATCTGTGTTTATTGTCTTTTCATATTATGGGAAGTATTTCATTTCATTTCCGAAGAAAATGTTAATTTCTCGAGGTCAAATTAAATTGTTTAGTTTTCACGAATAAAATTCCTTGCTTAATCTCCATGACTATTGAAGCTGTGTATTTACATAAAACAGTTGGCTAGTGTGGTGAAGCAACTCGTTCAACTATCTCTGTTTGCATCTGTGTTTTAAATAGATCTAATCAATATTTGAGTCAATCTAGTAGTATATACTGACTTCATCAGTTCGCCTGATTAGATTGATCAGCTATATTTATAGTTTAATAAAATTAAATTATTCGATCCAGTAAAATGTAGAATATACTTCTCATTAAATTCCTTAATGCTTAATATTTAACTTGCATGTCGCTATCTCATGATCAATCATAATCGCAACAGATATTAAGCCTTTCCTTAAAAGTAATAATTCCTAGGAATTTTTCCCTTCCACTATTTTTTCTTATTTTCAGATTCTTTTACAAAGTCCAACCAATAAATTAAAAAAATAACAGAGCTTTTTCGTCTTCACCTTTTCTATTTAATAGATCACATCTCTCGGTATTAATTTAAACACTGAATAATAAATGAATGAATTTAATTGACCTACATAAAAGAATATCAAACACAAGTATATGTCAACTTTATATAAGTAGACTGCAGTGAACACACGTTCATTTATGAATATATTTATTCGATTTCACTAGTGTACAATTAATAGTGGACTAGTTGAAAAATAGCAACTTGAAAGAAAAAAACACCGACGACATTGATATTATATTCAATCAATCAATAAACTTGTTGCTATTACTATGTATTTATTTTATTATTGTTTCTCAAATTATTTATCCTCATTTTTTTTCACGGAGTTACACTGTCAATCAGGAACTCAACGACTTTTTCTGTTTTGTTTAGGATTGTATACATTACTTAAAATAATGCATAGCTTGTTTTTAAGCGTCTGTTTGATAATTTTAGAGAGATATTTACGGATGGTTGATCACCGAGTGGTGGTCAATATCATGGCTGTTTAGTCCTTTTAGTGCTGATCGACTTCTGTCCATCCCTTTGAAATGTGTTCACTAATTTAAGTAACTAAACATCGAGTGCACTATAGTGATATGTTATTCAGTTCCTATTTGTCGATAAGAAACCTTGAAACTGGTTTTTGTCCTGGTTAGCACTCATCAGCAATGTTTACCTATAGTCTTGGGGGGCACAAACGATCCTTGTGGGATCTGAACCTCCATCCGCTTTACGGATACCGGTTAGCAAGAAACCTTGATGGAGATTTTCTTGTCAGCCACCTATAACCACCCAGTATTTTCCCATGTATTATTAAACATATGGATTGTATTCAGTTGGTACCAAATTTTTGTTGTTAGATTAATGAATTTGCACCATTTGTAATTACAATTAGATTACAAGTGATATTCCTTAAAAAACGAGTTGTTACTCCCATTATTAATATGAAATGATCATTGCTACCGAAAATAATAGCTTAGGATCTGTCCTAATAATCTATCGTATTGAATAAACATGCTCTATGAGAATATGATGAAGTTAAAAAGAAAGTAAATAAATGATAAGAAATCATAACGTCAAATAAACATGGTTTAGATTGTTTTGAGATTTACTTGTACCATTATCATAAATGGAAATTAATGTATGCTGTAATTCAATTAGTTATTTGGACTAGTTGTAAATATATTTATTTTATTATGTTTACAATTAAATTCATTTGTTTTGTACGTTCGCCTAATTACTTTTTGTGTGTATGTTTTTTGTTTAGTTGCTAGGCCTTGGTCGTGTAAAGTCTTTCTTAACCAATTGTCTTGATTCTCCTTCTGAAGATGCTATCTCAAAAACTTTAATATTTCTTAGACAAATTCAAGCTCTGAAATTAATCAAATCGGAAACATCGAATTTTAATACATCTCATCCAATAAAATCTCATGAAAAAAGTCATAAAGTCAATCGAAAGTCTCTTCGAGAATTTTCAGAAGCTGTTAAAAAGGATGTAAATGCTGTTGGTGTAGATTCTTTGGATTCTAGTTGTATCCATTTAGATTCAACAGATGAAGATGACGATGAGTTAACTCCTCTTGGTGTACACTTAGCCAATTTTCCACTGGATCCACAATGTGCTAAACTCTTAATTTTCGGTGCATTATTTGGTTGTTTAGAACCAATTTTAGCTGTCGCTTCGTGCTTAACATTTCGTGATCCATTTGAAGTACCTTTAGAAAAACAACAAGAGGCTGACCGATGCCGAATAGAATTGTCTCAGAATTCTCTAAGCGACCATTGGGTATTTGCTACAGTTATTCAAGTAAGGTACTATCTTTTTAAAAAAGTATGAATTTTTTACCAGGTCATAAATTTACAGACGTTAGTTCCATAACTTTATTCCTAGAATTTCCACTAATTGTGTATATTTTGTGCAAATACAGATTTTCTTGACGAGCAAGAATATTTGACGATGCATACCAATAAATACGAAACTTTATTCCATATCCTTTACCGAATAATTTTGTATACAGTTATATATAATACAGCTTGTATTTAGCTTCAGTTGTCTATTTCAGAAAAGCAGGAGAGTATTCGACCAGAGAGTATAGTGTCCGTTTTTTGATAGTTTGACCTAATTCTAAACAATGAATCTTTCAAATAGTGTTAGTTCATAATCCCATGTGCTTAAACATATTAACACATATATTCTTATCTTTCAAAAATAATCATAAATTCCTTCTGCTTCTTTTTAATTATGATACCTAAGTCACTTTTGAACACTGAATTGTTTCTCTAACATTAGGGAATAACTTTCAAACCTATTTATCATGTCTTCACACCGCCGACTCTCAAAATGAACACACATTTTCTGGAGGTTCTACATGAACTCGTGGATTATTACCAGCATAGAAGAAAACCATATATTAGATAGCCTCTTGGTTTCATGTAAATTGTCTGTCGAAAATGATGTTATAGGCTCACCGAGTCATATATTCTGGTATTCAAATTTTACTGGTTGAATTCTAAATTTTGAAGTTTAGTTAAGCCACGATACATTTCAATAAGCTTCTGAAAGTTCGTTTACTAAAGTTATTTTCACTATTTTTGGGTCAAAGTTAGTATATTCAAGTTCAAACAGTAGATGAAGCTAGGTATAAATCGATAAATCCGTGATCGTAAAGCGAATGAGTAAACGACTGACAGCTCGTTATCATTGCAATGAAAATGTCCTATTCACTGAATAATATCTTTTGTGTCGTTTAGTTCTCATCATTTGTTTACAACCTGCAATATTTAGAAATCCAAATTAGAAATAAATCTGATTGGACGTTGTTGTGAGCATACAGCTGAACAATATAGCAAAAATGTAATATGATGTAATATGCAAATGTAATATATGTAATATTTAGATAGTAATAAACAGAACTATGTGTTTGAGAGTGTATTACATCCTGGCTTTCATGTGCTAACCAACCAATACACTATTTATTTGACTTTATGAAGTTTTTTTCTTTTTCATTTTCATATCTAAAATAATGTAAAAATTATATTTAGATGTTATGAAATGTTTTAAAAACTATTCTGTAGTTAAATACTTACAAAGTATTTATATTCATTAATTTCACTTTATTTGCATAAAAAATTCCTAGAGTTATCAAGGACTTAATTCACAAATGGAACGTCATCAATTTTGTCGAAGATATTTTCTTAATGAACGTACTATAAAGGTAATTTAATCAATTCTCTATATCTAACTTTGAAAAATCTTGTTTTTTATTCAAATTAGTTCATTAGAATATATTTTGAATCTCTGCTTTTTTTAAAGCTCAGTTTAGAACACAGCAAGAAAAATCTCATTTAGCGCCGTTCAATAGGTTAAACAACCAAATACCAATAAGAACAGACGACCTAAGTGTTATAACTTGTGACCGCCGATTAGAGAGCAGTGACTTATCGATAGGATCAAAGACGTGCAAAACACGTGCGAGCAGTCTAGAGTTTTGATTGGCCCTTCTTTCCACCTAGCCCAGCCAGTTAAGTCCAGAACACCAATCTCAGCCTCTGAGATATGAATCATTATATTTCAATCATACTGAGTTTATATACCAATCAAACAAACCACAACGTACCAATAAAATATGAAACAACATTTGTACAAGAATTAGCCAGATGTGGCTGTGAATGAGAAAGGCAGTGACTAATAGACAGAGCATAATTCAAGAATGGTAAAACGTATAATAATGGTTCATAAATCAAAATAAAGTTTATAATAAGCGGAATATGAATAGTTTAGTTATTTAACAATTATACGATAAAAATATACGTTTAGTATTGGTCCATAAAAGGATCCCAAAGTTACCATTCATTTTATTTATCGGGACCTAACACTAAGAAAAAAGTGCATCATTTTGAATAAATAAGTGATTGCAAATGAGTCATCTATATTTATGAGTTGAAATGGAAATCAACGACATTATTGAATGAAAAGCATAAAGTAACCGAGTTTAAAGGCAGCTGAATGGTGAATGTTTCTGGTTCTATCCAATCAATTTTGACCTATACCGCCTGAAAACTCAAACCTTATCCAGACAGTCTTCGATGTCGTGAGATAGTTTCATATCTTGTTTTAAACTCTCACAGTTATTTCAGTTTTGACTATACTGATCAGTGTGGTGTTTCAGAGTAGGCGGTTATCTAAGCATGCATCACAAATAGCACAAACACCCAAGTGCTTGACGTTTAACTTCCTTTACATAGTGATATAACCATACTATTTTTTTATTCTTTTGACCATAAACAAACAACACTCCGAAGACTTTAATAATCAAATGCCGTCAAACTTAACACTTTTTTATACAACCGAAAGACATATTTTGCGAATTTGTATTGTCACAGATCAAACTACTTCCCTCCATACTCACTTATGATAGGTGAACGATATTTCCACACTATATTTGATATATTCATAACTACTTCATATAATCCGGATAAGTAAATTCTTTGCATTTAGTTTGCTTCAGAAACGAATATGGTTTTAAATCTGTTGATTCGTACTGGGTTTATATGTCAGTAAATATATTATCATATGATAAAATCTTGACTTCATTTCAAGACATCATCATCGGTCGATTGTACGTATGTTATAGCTAATATTTGGAACGAAGTACATTATAATTGACCAGGTAGAAATGGTGGCATATGTATTGCAAATTTTTTTAGAATCAGGCGCTACATTGACTGACTAAAGTGCATTGTACATTTTAAGATATATATATATATATATATATATATATATATATATGACCAGTGTACATCAGTTTTATGCTTCAGTTGTACATTTGATAGCCCAATGTGTTGCATCGTCACTACCAACCTATAAATCATTCTACCCATTCAATAATATTTTGCAGATATTGCTGTTGATGTCACACTAAACCCATTCTACTATTTTCGGATTCGGTTAATAAATCTTTTGAGCACATAAAACCAACATCGTAGACTGGTTACTCTATATTCAATGAATATGTATTGATCAATGATTTAAGCACTTCATTTCCATTGAAACAAAATGAAAATAAATATGGTTTTGAAATCCACTTTTCATTTCTCCTTTCTTTCATAAAAACAACCTAAGAATTGATACAACTTATGTAATTCACTACAAATCTTAATTATCTGTATGACTGAATACACACATTAGGTAAAAAACTATCAAAGCTTAAAACTTTGTTTTGTTGTAGAATAATTTTACTTCATTGTTCAAATGCTAATTAGTATTTACTTTTCTTGTTATCTCACATTTTGATCATTCCTTAACTTCTTGCACAATTATAGTGATGGTAACTAACTGAGTGATTAATTTGTATAAATTTCTTTCCAATAAATTCAAATAATCAACTCCAATGATCTCAAATTTGCCTACCTCTTTAATTTTAAAGTACGACATTAAGGATCAAATTTGTCGGTGTCGTATTCCGTAGGCTAGATTATGTAATTGCAAGCCATCCATTGTCATTCTGGACAACATTATCAAAATTTAATTCATTCAGATGTGAGCTTCTCAGTTTCTCTACAAGCATCAAATTAATTAGCTCTCATGACCTTATTTATGAATGGTTATTTTCATCTCTCTTCTTTTGTTGATGTTTGATCATTTGATTGATTGACCTTGTTTGTATGGGTGGGTAATTTGGACTTAGTCCAACGTGTTTATTGATTGTGGATTGATCTGAATTCAAAGTTCTATGACATTTTTTAGAAACCTGACGTTTTCTTAGTTGGACATTCAATAATATCTATATAGTCGCGTTAACAGATTTAGCTAACTTGTAAATATTGGAATGAATAAACATCAAAATAACAGTAATCATAATTATACCTTGTGTTGTAGAAGGATGAATATAATCGCATTGCTTTATTGACTGAATAATTAACTGGTAATTAACTTTTAGAAATAGTTCCCAGTTATTTCGTATTCAATTAGTACTGGTAAATTGTTTGCATATACATTTAATGGAATTTTCAGTCTAAAAATGTCATGACACGTAGACGTATTAGAATTATTACTGAAGTTGGATTTTGAAAATAATTTTATAAAATGAACTATAAATAAAACATTTTTGTTAACAAGTAAGATTTTCACATGTCATAAAATGGATATATATATAATTTGTGTTTCATTGCTTCTCCTAGTTCATAAAAGTCATTTAGAAGTATTATTCTCGAAGAGCTCATATTGTTGTGTTTGTGACTTTTTACTTATATACCTAATAAATGGCTAGTATTCCCATTCAAGTTACAGTCCGGTATCTATTATTTCAAATGCTAATATTTTCTATTTTATTGCTAAATTATGATAACTAATTTCAGAATCTAATCATTTTAGTCTTATGAACTTATCTCCATATTTTTTTAAAAAAAAGTAAAGATTTCTTGCAATTAGGTTTTTACCCAAACATAAATTGTAGCCATTATTTTTTTATTTATTAGTAGTGATCGATTGAACTCAAAAAATAATATTTTTTCGTACATTCAGGTCATTTATTTTGAACTAAAACTGACTTGATAATAAGATATTGGTACTCTGTGATCTAAGGGATACAAAGTATATAAAATTTAATCTTTTCACTAACACATTACACTTTTTATGATTTTTATCAAGCAGGGTATTGTTTAATTGGTTTATTGATTAAAGGTTTGCTTTTTTTGGAATAATCTAAAACCAGTTGTTCAAAATATAATACCTTTCGACGTGTAAAAGGTAACACTGATTCCATCACATTGTAAAAATAATTGAGATTTTTGTCTATATATAAGCTGTGAAACTAATTAATTTTTTATCTACCTTTTTATTTCCATAAAATTCAATAATATACAATCAAATAGAAACGACTCACATTCTTTCCTAATGAATTGATTTTATGGTTATTAGTCTGTAAAAATTATTGATGTTCTCATGCTATTTTTCATGATATACTTCATGTGATCTCACTTCATAAATACATATATATGTGTATTTAATTTTTTTTGTTTGTTTGTTGATAAATGCAAATTACATTTCTGTCATTGTTTTTACTTATACATTCTCACCGATCAATGAAGTATCTTCGTGTATTTTTGTTTTCACATCTATTATTCTAACTTTTTCATAGGATATTATTCGACTTATGAATGACTATGCACAATTGTTATATGAACGAAGGTATATTGCTACTCCAAAACCTAATGATTCGAATGCAAACTGTAATCAATGTAAGTTGCTTTTCCTTTCAAATTTTTTTTACTGTACTTAGAGACCATTTCAAACGACTTGTTAATTGTTATATTAGCATACTGACTCAAACTATCTATGGTCTTTCACCGTGACAAAGAACTAAGAATATTGGATTCCATTACGTATTTGTGTGTTTGTAAGAGTGGAATGATATGAGTGGTCATTGTTTTTTTACTATTTCACAATCCATTTATAACAAATAGTGATAATCCGATCTATTTTAATACATAATTCCATATCACGAAATTCATCAATGAAATTTAATCCATATTGTTTGATATATGCATATTTTTATGTACTGCATTCTTACAAAATGAAATATTTGTTTTTTTTTATTACCTAATAAATTATTATACATAAGACTTGTTTTAAATCACACCATATTATGTTAATCAAAGTACAAAAAGTGATCCATATTGTCTCTCTCAAATACTTTTTCAAAATCTATACGTCATCTATAATTTCGTTTGTTTTTTCTAAATTTTAACTAATTAGTTTTTCTCATATTTGAAGAGCATTTGTTGATGGAAAATAGTCATTAAAAGTTTACTTTAATGTTGTATGAAAGTGTTCACTCGAAGTTAGTAGCAGTATCTAATTTATATAAGTTAAATTATTCTTTCGAATCACAATTATCTTTGATAGTAATTATTATGAATTTGAAATAATCAAGAATATTCTCGGCTCAGTTGGTTACTTTTGATGTTTTTTAGTTTTCTGGGCTACCAGGACTCAGTAGCTAAGTGGATAACGCAATAGCGTTTGAAGCGAACAGTACTCTGTCCGAGTCTTGAAGTGAAAATCAGCTCTGGGATGTAGGTACATCCAGTTGAAAAGTCTAAAATAGGACGAAACCTGCATTCTGAATCCCATTGCTAGCCACCATGCATCTTTGCGCACAAGTTACTTACTTACAAATAAACTTTATGTCAAAGATTGTCATCCTACTATACAATTCTATCTCTCCGAAAACTAACCATTATTATGATGTGCTAAAAAAAAATTCAAACCATTTTTTTTATCTGTCCTAATAAAAAAAGGTTTTAGAGTTTCTATTTTCTTGTCAAATTCTTACTTTTCTTCACTGAAAATCGGTAAATCATGTAATGGCCTCGTTGTCTGTTTAAATTTGTAAATTGCTGATTTGTTGTTTTAGAAGTCTATAAATGAACTCTGCATACTAAACAGTTATATCTTCCTTTGAATTTTGTATAAGACAAAATCCCTATCGCAATCAAATCGTCTTTCCTTTTCTCATATATTTTAGCTTTTCTAGCAAATACAATTAAACCATGTTGATTGTATGACAGTGACATCGATTAGACGCCCATAATTCGTAGTATCTAAGTGTTTACTTAACGGAGCGTAACTGCTCAAACCACAAACTATTTTGGCATTAACTATAAAGGATCGAAATTATCCTGTTTTTGATATTCTTAGTTGAATTATGACCAGTCTTTATTGATAGATGAGCATCCATTCATCCTATAAATGTTTTTGACAAAATGGTTATATCAATGCACTCTGCACAGAATGAGTCAAAATGTTAATTACTCGATAATTAAAATCCTTTCTGATATCTATAAATTTCATACCTGTTGTAGAAGTGAGTGGCTATCTGGACTCAATAACTCAGGGGATGATGCGTTCATCTTTTAGAGAAATAGACACTGTGTGCGAATCCATGCGTTGATAAAATGCAATTATATGTGGCTATGAAGTCCCAACTAGGGCGTAATGAGCGTCCTGGCTTTCTCTATTGTCCATAACCCATCAGTTCTATGGAAATCTTTTACTAATCGTTTCTATTTCTTGATCTTCATTTGATTAACTTTAGTATCATACCGTACCTTATTGTGTGGTGGTGATGATAATTAATCAATCTCCTATTACTCACTTTTTTGCGTGTCGAAATCTGTAAAAAAAAATTAAGAACCAAATTACACTAGACAAACATATTTTTGTTCGTTAATCATCTCTGTTCACCCTAAATCCCTGTAATACATCATATGTATTCATTTTCGTGGAATACAGAATGGAGTTTTTTTTTATCAAATATTAAATGTTTTTAAACTCATTCCGCCTGTCCAGATAACTAGTACAACGGTGGCTGTTTACATAATGAAAATATGTAAATCGGTAATATTCTTGCATTGTATACCTTAGATTCTTATAACTTCAATAGATGGATAATCAAATATGTCTGAGAATACTTTAAAAGTGTAAATAGAATTCACAATATGGACAGTTGTTGAGTAAATAATGTCCTCCAATTTCAATGTTCTCTCAAATATTTTGGTCACCTGTTTTTTTAATGTATACAAATATTGCAATTGGCCTACCCATTCTTAACTACTATAAATTAAGTTACTACGAATGCCAATTGTATTAAATCATCTACAATAAATTATTGTGATATTAAATACTAGAATACAGTTCTAGGCACATTTCCCTTTTTATCTAAGCTTTGAAAAGAAGATTGAAAGATAAATGTATTTGGATTCAAACACCTTAAATTAGTTATAGCAGCTGAACTGGTAGGAAATTTTAATGATTTAATACATGATATTGACTGTTAAAAACATTTTTGAAGTATTTTTTGAATAATTACAATTTTAATTTATGCTAAAGAGATATTTATAATGATTTTGAGAATTCTTTGTTGTGACATAATTTAGATTATGGAACTAGGTTATTTTTCGATTATTATTACGGATTGTTTCCATTTCATGTTTAAATGATTTGTGTCCATTAACTGATAATTTTTTGACCTAAATTTTTGTCTAATCTTTCATTTCATGCCAACATGTTTGTTGTAATCGATAAAAGAAACAAAAACATGATTTTCAATAAAATTGAAGTAATATATGAAACATGTTTAAAGTATCATCAATTTACTAGAGTTGTTACAGAGGGATCGTGTATCATTTCATGTGGAATTGCCATATAATGAGCAAAATGTAGGCCTGACATTCAGATCTTTATTGATTAAGGAGTGAGTGGCCTACAAACTAAATTCAATTACTTATGACATTGTATCATAATGATATTTTGTATATAAGTGCGCCATTTGATTACAGAAAATGCATATTCTCCAAGTTAGTGGTCTTGTTCTTGATTTTAAACTATCCAAAGACTTAAGTCAAGTATTCCATCTACAACAGCCATCGTTCGGCATGTTCTTCTTGTGTTTACTTTTAATTGCTGTTGCAAAATATTTGACTCGTCAAGTGAAACTAATCACAGTAGCAATATATCATAGTTAAACATAATTGTTTTCCAAATGGTACGTAGTAACATCTTTCCTCTTGTTTTTTAAATTACTATTTATGCGTTACATAACTATCTTTGTTTCCTTTTTGATGAAACAGGGAATATCAATCTTTTCCGAGCAATAATGTGTGCAGCATTATATCCAAATATTGTAAAAGTGGATCCAAGATTTACGTAAGTTTTACTGTTATTCTCAAATTATTGTAACGAATTCACTATGTTGAACGATATAAATTAATATAGTTGTCAGTTTCATTTGAATAGAACAGTCAAAAGTTAAATTCATTCGAACTACAATTAACATTTAATGAAAAGAAATCCTTAATCCAATACCATTGTTTCCTACTTTGCTTTATACATTCATCATTAGTCTTCAAGGTAATCCAAAGTAATAATTATCTGAAATTTTCAACTAATTGACGTACTGACTTCTTTTTAAATTGATCTTTTTGTTCGTTAATTAGAGTGTAAAATAATTTTCTTTTGCATAGTTTAATTCTTAGTAAAAAATAATAGAAAGTAGTATTCAGTTGTCTGTAACTATGATCTATATCTTTAAGTTGTGTAAGATTAATTGACTTGTGCACTTATTTATCGACTTATTTTTAAGATTATATTGTATAATAAATGACCACTATTATGACACCGAGTAATATTTAATCAAACAACTTTCAACTATTGTATCACATGGTTAAATCTTTCTATCTATCGGGACTTCCAGACTCACTTTTGTATATAATCATTCTTTCATTGTTGTCTTTGTTGACTATATCATACATTTTTCTTAAACTTTAATGGTTTTCTGAACACTTGTTTAAATTAATCAATAGTTTTTGTAATAAAATTATAATCCTATAAATATTAATTTATTTCGTCCTTTTGTTATGTACTTCTTCGACATATCCAACTTGCCGTTTACTGTTAAGAAACGTCCTGTTAATCTCCAAACTCATAGATTAGTTATTTAAGTAGTAACGGAGCCCTTTAATCTTAGAAATATAATGTTATTGATCTGTACTTTATTTACTATCCTGACTAATGTCTTTTCTGCATGTACTACCAAAAATAATCTCAGTAAATTTGTGTTTCTGTTAATACACAATTGATATTTGCGAGTTTGGGTTGAAAGTTCTAGATAAATAAGATGAATTAATCAATTATCGGAATTCGTAGAATTGTCGCCTTGATACACAGTTTCAGTAGGAATAGTGGAGCGTGGAAACAGTACAATGAATTCACTATTTGTTGCTAAACTATTCAATGATTAACTAGTGTTTTGATATGTAACTTATTCTTCAGCTTCCCTAACATTGAAGTCAATCAGTCAATTAAAACGTAGGACCAGGCACATTGAAAGTTGACAGTGGAAGATTTTGCACCTCATCTTAATTTATATCCACATTTTATCATACTCAACACTTTAAACAAGTTTACTTCATCTTTCCAATTGTCTTTTTAATAAATTTATCCCTTCTGTTGTTTTTTTATCGCATTTTTTTAAAACTAGAGACATGGTTTGCACAATATCTCGTTACGTTGTTATTGTTGTACTACTTTTTAGATATTCCACATTTAATGTTTACTTCCATTCCATAATTAATTAGAAATGTATAAAATAATTATGTCTGCAATTCAATGTCTTTTTCATTATTGAAATGTTTTTTAATCGTCGTACTTTAAAGACTTACTTTTTATATATAGGTTGCATTAATATTTTTATTTATTTGTAATAAATTAGTAAAGAAGGCAAACCTAAAGTACCAGTTATTATGGCTTGTCCATCTGAGGGTAGAGCAAATATTCATCCATCGTCAGTAAATAGTAAAATTCAACCAACTGAGCCTATATGGATGGTTTATTTTACAAAAACTAAGCTTGAATCAGGATCTGTAAGTTTAACCTTTTCTTTAAAAAAAACTGCGTGATTTAATTAGTTGTATTGACTGATACTTTTCTCTGCAATCATACCATATACATGATTCAAGCTATACAATCAGATATCATTTTGACAACTATTTCGTAATTTTTATAATCGATAACATTATATAATTATTATTGTGGATGGTGAATTGTAGGCTACCTTTCATCTTTTTAAAAATATCCTTTCGGAAAGCAGTAATTCATAGATTACTAAATGAATATATTTTTTGTTATCGCATATGCTATTTCAATTTGCATTAATAATGTCTTAAGCTGAAATCATCTCTCATAACAATTATTATAATATATAATACTTACATTTAAGTCACTGACATTTTCAGCGTCATTTGACCCGTGACGTAATCTGTTTGACTTGGTGACTAAAATACTTGACTTGTAGTCATTGTTTTATAAACTTAACGTACTTTTGTTTTAATTCGCTTTTGGTAATCTGAAAGTGTCACAAACCCTCACAACTAAATTTTGATTCAATAATCCATAGATGAATTTGTACTTAGTTACTGATTTGTATGAATTTAAAATTAAAGCGTCAAGAATCAACGGATTAAGATCATTACATTTAGTGTTTATAAGCTGTTTCCGTAAAGTTTCTAAAAAGTTCTTTTCCCAGTCAGTCTATGATAAATCGGGAGAGATTAATGAGCAGTAAAATTTTATTTGACTCGTTTCTTGTAGAAAAGTTAGTATTTGACTTTACATGAGTTAAACTTAATTATTTGAATGGGTTTTACCTGCTGGAAACAGTGAGTTTTTAAATACTCTTATTTTCAATGATCACACAATGTATTTTGATATTTCGTAGTACTGCAGTGCTGTATAAAGCATATGTCTTAATTATTTTGTCTAGTTTATAATCTGTTTTTGAAACATGATACCTAGAAAATTGTCTTAACAACTCCAATAGGCAGAACCTTATTAGTTTCTGTCACTTTTGCTATACATGTAAGCGTTTCGGTAAGAACAATTAAATGCTAACCTTTAAATCCAGTTTCATAAGGATTCAACAATTACATACTAGGTTGTGAATCGCATCTGATTTACGAAGGCTTATGGAATATGTTTGAATTTATCATCCATTGCCTGATAACTCCGAGTTCTAACTGGTTACTACATATTATTTCATGTAGTATCCCAATGAGCACAAATTAGAATTCCTAACCTTTCGCAACTGCTTCAGAGAGTGGGCAAATAAATAACTGCACTAAATTAACACACTTTTGAGTCATCTGGCCTAAAGAATGAAACTTCATCCACCTGAGCCACAAACCTTTTCCACCCCAAATCAGCAGAAAATCAGATAGTAGAGATAAATAATGCAGAATATGTTATTAAACGAGATCCTAATGGAAATTTAAGTTTAACCACTCACCGAAAACCAGGACATTTAACTGTGCACATCCATTCAGCGCAAAGAATTTTCATGGCTCTAAATCTATTTAGAAGAGCTACCAAGATCATTAACTCAGAAGGTAAATTAATGGGACAAAATACCATACTAAACATCTTACGATTTACCGATTTTCCTAAGAATCCTATTAAAAACGTATGAAAATAAACGATTTATCTTTAAATAACAATGCAAATGAAATATCATGTGTTGGTACGGTAGTTTTACCCTACTACCATGGTACGACGGAAAAATTTCAATGTATCGTCCATAAAACAACTAACACTTTTCGAAATCCTATGATTCAAATAAAGGAAGAAATCTCTTTTACTTTACACAAAACTGCGTCTACAAATTGTATCGACTGTGATGTTTTATACATTAGGAAGTATTCTCTTGAAATCCTGACTCCAGCCAAAAAATATCTAAGCCAACTAAAAATACTTAGTTATCGTGTACAATTTGATAAGCTTCGAATAAAATCAGCAATAGCAGTGGTTATCATCTTCAGTGACCATGAAATAAATACAAAAGACACCGAAATAATTCAAAAAAGCTTTTCCAACGATATAGGTAGGTGAGTAGCTCTTGATGGAAAAAGGGCGTGATGATCATCCAACTTGGACCGTTTGTCCAAACAACTACACTTAATTTTATTAATTTCTGACTCTTTTAATACACACATACATACACAAATTTCACATTGTTCACACCCACCAGCGTATACACAAATATACACTGTAATGTCCCTCACACACCTTGACCGGATAACAAAACATCGATATAATCAAACCTATTTTATTTTGTTTAGATTTGACATTCTATCCTGGTTCCGTTTACTATTTAAACCTGTATTAATTTAATTCAGTTATTGATTTACTTTCTCGAGAAACGACTTAAACTAAATAGTTGTAAGATGTTAGAAATTCTTATTTCTACTCATTAGGATACCACGTATAAATCATGATTTTATTAATAACATTCTATCAAATGCTCAATTTATTTAAAATTATGAAGTCAAATTTTGGTGTTAAAAAGGTCGTATAAAATGGAAATGAAATAATTATGTTAATTAACTAGAAGCCAACTTGTTATGCTCAAATAACTGATTATGATTAAACTACTATTGTGATCCTAATTTAAACGTAGCTTTTTAGTTAATAGATATTGTCACGTACACAAGTTTATACGTATAACTTTCATTTTATTGCTACTGTGTAATAGACTATTTTTGCTTCATTATCTTAATCTTATTTCCTTTGTAGTTAGCTATGAGGTTTAAATCCCTAAATGTTATTTCCTAAATAACTTAAACAATTTTTAATACTATATAAAATTAAGTTATTTATGCAAAACATTCTAACTATTATTTGTTAAATTTTATTAAAGTTTGTATCTAAATTGACCGCCACCAGATAAACATAGTAGACAAACCCAACTATCATATTGTAATGAACGAGAACAATGGCGCGGACAACCAAATGTATTTCAACACAACATTACAGAATATCGTGGTAAAATCTGAGAACCATACAGTAATACTTCATTTGCAAAATATCCATCAGTTTTCTCAGACTTTGTTGTTCCTTCGTTTCCATACCACTCACTCTCTGTTCTCGTTTCCTCTTCAATTTTCTCAACCTCCTACCGCCGTGCATTCCACCTTCTATTGTTGATATATACTACTTATATCTGTCGACGTCAGTAGCACACACCACAACATAACTTTACTTTGCACGACATTGCTTGGTTTTTGTCGACTATAATCAGAGTAATGAAATAAGCAAAGCGATTTCCGGTGAAAAAAAGTGTAATAGAAAATGTAAACAGTGATTGAGGAGGTTCTATATGTTTATAGTTTGAATGGAACTACTGACAAACTGGGACTAATGTTGTCCAAGACATCAGATGTCTTATGTCTAATAATACCTATTACACACTTCTTTGAGTAAACTTCCAAATACTTAACACCAGAAATTGTACTTTTTAGCGCTTGATTCTTGCTCGCTGTTTTAATCACTAAATAATTGAATGTTCTCCTAGGGGCTAGAAACAAGTTTATTTAAAACAGTTCAATAATATATCTAGATCTCATACTTCAAATAACATCCAAAACCTATTTTATTTCATTTGTATTTTTCCATTACTTATCAACTAGAAGAAGTTATTTATATATTTCTTCAAGAATGAGAAAATGATGCTTGCATGTCTAAAATTAACTTTTCCATTCTATCATAAATTTCATTTAGTCAGGTTCTAAAGTAGTCTAATCTTCATTATATATTTAGGTCAATTAATTTAGGGCGTGACCGATGCTGAAATCATGTATACTTTTGTTTCATTATATTACGGATATGTAATCAATTTATGCAAGGTGTTAAATTCAGTATTAAGAGTTTTTCAACGAAACCATCTTCGTTTTCATGTGAGCATCGTATCTAATTGGTTATTAACTACAAAACTTGGCACTTCATCTCATTTAATATTTTATGCTTTAGCTTACAGTGGTTCTTTTCATATTTCTTCAATCTCATTACATTTATTCGGATCGCTATCCCACCATAATGATGTATATCTAATTTTACTGCCATAAATATGTAAACTTTACAACAATCTTGATTTTGGATTATTGTAAATTGTAATCAGCTGATGAGAACCTAACGGGATAAAATGAATTCATGTTATTCTACTCAATTCATTGTTTTTTTCTCTCTTCAATGAAATTTAAATGAACATTGTAATGAAGAAGAGACACTTCTACCATTTCACATGTCATTAGACAGTTAAACACTAATCAAACTTAAAACAATCCACAAAAATACATCCGTTTTATCCTTATCAGCACTATTTTGATTTATTTTGAACTGTGTAATCTAGAGGTTAAGACTATCGAGTTTTTTGTAAGCAAAACTCATACCTTAGTATTCAGTGATTCTCAATTACCACTTCATACTTGATTGTGTTTAAATTTCTACTTACTTCTTCTTTACGGTAAGTGGTGGCTTGGTGATATATACAGCACTATTGTGTGTACGTTCTGAGTAAATGATGATTTTCATACAGCGTTAATTTCCATACTCTATGACAGAAAAATAGATCACATCGCAATTAATGTCATCACTAACATTGTTTACCTAGAATGTAATCAAATGATTTTTCTTTGAATTAATTAATCTATAGTCATCACCCTATCATCCCAACTAAACGTAGATATAAAAATCGCTGAGCATTTTTGAATTATTGCTTTTCTCTGTAACGATGATAATAATAATAAATAATAGAAAATAAAGTAATAACTACTTTTAATCTTTTGATTTTATTGATTTGTTTTCCAGTATCCATCCATATTCGACTCAACTGTCATATCACTGAGACCTTTGTTATTTTTCAGCGGTAATATAGAAATATCAAAGGTTAGTGTTTTATATACTGTTAAGCATACCATTACTATCATTATTTGAGGTGAACTAATTATTTATTTCTTAATTATAACTATGAAAAATCTAAATTTTCCAGCATAATACATTACTTTTAAATTACAACAGAAATTCTGTTATATTTTTCTTTGTAAATAACAGATTGTTAGATTATGTAGAAGCTGAAAATGTGTAATGATGAATTTTTAAAGTAGTTTTACCTAAACTATACTAAATTCAGAAGATAAAATTAATAACGCTTAAATTAGATGATTTGCAAAAGATTATTTGAAATCACAATTTAATAGTCTACAAATGTTTCTTTCTTGTTTTGTTTCGCATTTATTCATAAATATCAACCTTTTATTAAAAATTACTAATAATTATTACCAGTTTTATATGTCAGGCTTTAGTTGAAAAATCAAATCTCTAAGACTAAGATTCGTAGTATGTTAATCAATATGTTGTTGTAAATAATCCTTAGAATATCTCAAGAGTTTTGAAAAGTCTACAAATTGAAACTTTTCACACTGACTTACAATATTCAAATAACGTGTTACACACAGAACATTCCCATTTTCTAGTTTCATTGTCCTCGAATTATGTTAGTTATGAGTACCACTAAGATACGCAAAACCTAGTGTATTGGAAATTTGCTCCATTTGTCCAAACACTATCCTATTCAAGTATGAATCAGTTATATATTTTTCAGTGTTTTATGCTCAAATTCTTACTCCCGAATACTGTTATAAACGTTGCAGATTAACCTGTGTTGTTTTTGGCTTTCACTCAACAGAAATCGAACCTGTCCTCAAGACAGTTATACATTTTATCGCTTGCTGTAATCAAGAAATTCAATATAAAACATATGAAACAGAGTATTGATCTGCTTATGTAGCTGGTTGAACTGTCTAATTTAGCTTTGATTGTTTGACTGACGTTTATGTACTACTGACCGAGTTATGGGATCCAACTGTTAACCACCAGTTGCTTCGACTGTCGAGAGTTCTCTATAACTAATTCGGTACTCTACTAAGTACACTTCATAATGATAGCGTCCGAGTCAGGCTTTCAGGTTCGGATTTGAATCAGATTAATGACTGATTTTATCAATTAACAAAGCATACAAATATATATTTTGCATCTCATATTGTTTTAAAGGATTTCGTATTCTTATTTCTCTCATATTTGTGGTAAACATCTCAAAATAGTTAGTGGATCTTTTCATAGTTCATTTAATCTGTATGGTTTGTGACTAACAGATTGCAGTTATCATACTTTAGAAGCACTTCTACAATGCTTTACTGTTAATGAAAATAAAATAATAAATACATTTTCTTCTTTGGCGCAAGTGATGATTATTTCAGTTATGATGTATGGTACTCGTCCATACAAGAAAGTACTTATAAGGATTTCGTTGCCGGTTTACTGGAATAGAAATCTAAATCTTTACTTGGCATGATACTTTTGAAATGATGAATTATTTTATATTACACGATCAAAAAATATGGACAAGAATAACTGAATGTAAGCTCTATGATTCTTGATAAAAAAAAAGAAAAGTCATATCTCCTTAGAACCTTATCATTCAAATAACAACACGGATGTTTGGTCGTAGCATTGAGTAATGCAATTTTAGATCTATCCTTGTTTTGATTTATAAATATTCTTTGCTAATGAATCCTAGCATGTACTGTGACCAAATCTGAATATTTCTATCAGATACCGCTAACGATTCAGTATCAAATGCAATATCCGGTTATTTAGCTCACTAACAACATTTTAAAGTTAACTGGTGAAACTGTTAGCACTAAGTAGGCATAGTCTGTTATACGAATAATCACTTTTTAGTGTCAGAACCTATTATTTTTCCTTGTTTGACAATGCATAAAATTATTTTATGTAGTATGCGTCAGCAAAAGGTAATAAAATGTTCCTCTACTTTTATAGAACGATACAAGTCTTTTCACCATTGATCAATGGATTAAATTCAGCGGGGAGTTAAAAGTAGTCAATTTATTGAAAGTTAGTTGCAAATTGATTGAAACTATCCTTTCCTATTGACTGATTTTTTAATTAATGTGTATTTACATACATTAATTTTACATATAAACCCTCCAGTTCATGTCAAGTAAGGTTCATTGTTACGTAAAGTTACACTTTACTGTGTCAACAGTGATCCAATCACTCTTGAGCGCAACACAATATATCATTTCATACTTTTCGGTGACTGATTAATTTGATAAATTATACATTCTAGGAACCTATCATTTCTCAGGTCTTTTGAATAAATACTAATGCCATTTCTATGCTTAGTGTTTGATTAATATCCTTGGATATTTTTCAAAACTAGCATTGTGACTAAAACAAAATACAAAAACAACTATGGTTGCAATAATAATTCATGTACTCTGTCATACACCCACAATGCACTGTCAGCAAGTAAAAATGTAAACTTTCCAATTTAATCTGGAAATCAGGCTATTTTATCTTCATAGAAATGAATTCATACTAGGAAATGATGAAAGCACTGTAGCATAATTTCTGACTACGGTTCAACTTGTCATTTTGTAGGGAGTAAGTTTTTGTAATACGTGTGGTGTTACCGTACGGGAGACAGCTCAGTGATGACGTCCCAAACTGTGAAGCTGAGTGACGCGGGTTCAAATCCCTCGAAGCACATCATTTTCCCATCAATTACTGGTGTACGTTGCTGATAAATACTAATCAACAAGAAACCTACATCCAGAGTTGCTTGCTGCCGATCCTCAACCATACAAAAGGATTTTCTAGTATAACATTTTTAATTAATGACTACCTAATGAAGAAATGCTTTAAAATGAATGAGATGAAATATTTTTTTAAATGCAGTAGAAGAATATAGATCACACATTTTTTTTAGTGAAATATCATTGTTATTGTATTCTAGTATACTTATATATGAAAAAGTTTATTGATAATTGTACTATATAGCATAGTGAGAAGAAAAATTATCGGTATTTCCCAAGAGTCCTGTCTGGAAAATATTGAACTTTGTTTCTGAAATACGCTTTCCGTTTATTTATCCTGAAAAGAAGTCTGCAGATTTAACTAAATATCCAATATGTTTTGATATCTGTAAAGTAGTATCTATTCTTTGATCAAAATAATAGTGCTCACTAGCGATTAATTTCAAGAAGTTTTAATGAAAAGTTGTGTCTGGGCGATTTAAATCTTGTTGGGAGTGAGATAGATATCGCCATTAGTACTCCCAGTAAACATAAGCGTTTGACTGAAAACTTAAGAAAATAAATTTAAGTTGCCTTACATAACTTTGTCAAAGTCCATGGATCAAACACTAGACTACACTGGTTGAAATCAGTTTAGGAGCATGTGTTTTCTCATGATGTAAATATACTTTGAGCTTTAAAAATCTCGATTCGCTGATGTGATTATTCCTTTTTTAATGAATTTCTACCCTCTTAGTTTTCTAGTTTTAAAACCACATTCCAAGTCGATTTTTATCGGTGCTTCATATACTGCGTGCATTGGCACAAAGTTAGGTCTACCTACCTACCTTAGCTACTGACCATAGTTGTGATTCCTGTCCTTTTTGGATGTTCTATTATAATATTAATATGTATGACATTTTTACAACTGTAGATCGAAGCAAAATATCTCTAGAGTTAGAAGTCGCTGAAGTAATTGGTTTTCATGATCCAGCCATATTTTTATTAACAGAATATTACCTACTGTTTTTTTTTAACATATCGACGACCAAAACTCTCTATTGAGATTCGTTTTCACATATATCAACCAATGCTGTACCAAATTAATGTCAACATTCCTAATCAGTCAACTTCGTGTTGGTTGAAGTCTTTCGGTCGGATTCCTGAATGGTTCAGCAACTAGTACATATTTTTTGGTGTTGCGTTGTTTGGAATCAAGGAAACATGTTCTGTTTTCTTAGCAAACATTGAACAACATAAACGCACTAAAGAGAATGAAGACTTTTCAGCAAAGGAGAGTTTCTTTATGGCAATATCATTCTCTTAGACTGTGTAATTGTATTTATAGGTAATTGGTTACATTTAGTAGCCTGTAGAAAAACATAAGAGTTATGAAATTATCCATAGTCAAATTTACTCAACTATCGAATGTAAAAGTCTACAAAACCGATGTGGTTTTACATCACTTAATAAAATCAAAGATTATCAAACCATTTCAAGCATCGAATGTGATAATCTATGAGTTGATGTTATTTCAAAGTAATTAAAGTCATCAAAAGTTTGCAAGTATTGATAAACAAACACATATAACCTCACAATATTATTTCAGTTCCTAATGGATACTCCCTCTTATAGGAAGCAGATGACAATTCTTTATCAATTATTTTTTAGTCGCATTTTTTATATGCATTCATTTCGAAATTTCTTTTAGGATTTACGGAAATGCATGGATGGACTGTTGGAACAGAAGTTTAAAAGTCCTAGCGTGGTTAACTGGGATAGAACAAATAAGGAAGGACGACTCCTTCAAACTATTGTGGATCTATTAACAAGTGAACCCCCGCCAGCTGTTCAAGTTGAGAAATTAAACTTAAAAACATTCTCCCTCGGCATCCATAAATAGTTATTCGCACCACTGATAACCCTGTAGATATATGTTTTAACAATTCTGTTTGTTAATGACTTAAAATAAATCTTGTCTATCAAGAAAAGTAACTTTTCGATCCGTTAATTTGTGCATTGTGGGTTCGATTACTTAACATTGAACAGGCTTATGTATTTTTGCACAGAGAACTAATATTGATACCCTATGTACAGAAAACTTCCAAAATCAAACAAGTTATCATCGCGTGCAAGAGAAAAGTTGTTTATTTATGACCCGTGTAAATTCTTCTACAGTCGTAAATCCAAAAATCTACCACATGAATCAAATCACTGTATGTTAAGAAGCGGAAAGGAAAGGGTTCTTATAGTCAGTAAGTAAATGAACAAGAGTAGCATCCATTAACACAGTATTCAGTTAAAAAAATTCGCTCAAGAAATATTTTACTAGAATAGTAAACTTTCAAATTTCATACTAATCGTCTTCTATCTTCAGTGTTGTGGTGATACGAATGGTATCTGTGTTTGTTGGCCCAATGTGTTGAAAGTGATCATAGATGTAGAGTCGGTCTGATAATCTGCCATTCCCAGAATACACATACGTCTTCGGGTAAATCAATGGCCTGAAATATCGTCACATACATGAGGCTCTGTCATATTGTGACGACCCTAACCTATCTGATAATCTAGAACAACATATATAAGCGAACAATATTGTTTTCGATTAGATCCTCATCAGGCTTTACTCTAATATACAGTAATATTTATATGCATATACGAAATTATTAAACCAATCAAGGTAGTTTATAAGTCAATGATAACAATGAAAACTATTACATAATAAGTGAAACGTGAAAAGTACAAATTGATGGTGTGACAACAGGTGCATTAGTTTTGATAAGAATAATAAAGGCTCAAATCAATGTTACATAATCGGAAATAGGTCAATGATTAGAAAAATATAGACAGTGAGATAACAATAATAAGCTAGTAGGTCCTGGGTTCGAATCCCGTGGGGTGCGGGACCGTGGATGCGCCCTGCTGAGGAGTCCCCTACTAGGACGAAACGGCCGTCCAGGTTTTCCATGGTGGTCTAGCTTCAACTGACTCATGATTTCAATCTGTGAAAAATTCATTTATTACTTAAGGCCAAGGGAGAGATAAGGGTGTTACAAATTTTTTCTGAACCCAAAGACTTGGCTTGTTGGCTCGGATTCCTATAGCTTCTGCTATGTGTAAGAGACGAGATCGAACACCATAAGGAAAACTAGTGGGAATACGATAAATAACTTTGAACGACTTGTTTCTATCAACTATATGACCGCTATCGATCAAGTGTGATAGAACCGAGCTGCGTATTGTTTTGACGTAACCTTTTCCTAACCACGAAGGGAGGTGTTCACCAACTCGTTGGTTCAGTTGCCTGGTAGTGCGCCCAATATAGCTTTCTCCACAGGAACAGCTGAATTCATAGGCAGAGGTTGGCAGCATTAACCGTTCTCTTTACTGCTCTAGTCAATCTATCCCGTAATACATCGCTAGCTAAATCAGTGGATATCCACTGGGTTTCCTGAAGAAACACTTACGGGTACAAAACAAGAAAATAGTGACTCTGACGGCTAATAAGAAACCGCTTTTCTTGAAGCTGCAATTCAATGGTGATTTAGCTAGCGACGTATTACGGGATAGATTGACTAGAGCAGTAAACAGAACGGTTAATGCTGCCAACCTCTGCCTATCGTATTCCACCCGATCGATGGTGATTCCGCAATTGAAGGATAAGTTACCTGGTTATGTCACTTCTATGTGTATCTACGAATTCAGCTGTTCCTGTGGAGAAAGCTATATTGGGCGCACTGCCAGGCAACTGAACGAACTAGTAGCACTAAACAACAGTGCCAGGATGTTTGCGATGCACTTCTCCCCCTCTAAATGCAAGTTGTTGCTCCAGGACTGGCCTGCGTTAACACCTGAACTAAGGATTGACAGGGAAGTAGTCGAACGCGTTGACAACTTCACTTATCTTGGAAGTCTAATCAGCCCAAATGGGTTGGTGTCTGACGAAATATCAGCACAGATTCGAAAAGCCGATCTGGCTTTTGTCGACTTACGTCACCTATTGCGAGGCCCAGATATCCGTCTATCAATTAAGAGGCGAGTATACTGCGCGGAAGTCCTTTCTGTTTTTACGGCTGCGAAACGTGGTCATTAAGAGTTGAAGATATTCACAAGCTACTAGTATTTGACCACAGATGCCTTATAAATATTGCTGGGATCACCGGGTAAGTGTTAGTGAAGTTAGACTCAGAGTACTAGGGAATGATGGTAAATCAGTTGATGAGGTTGTGAATCTTCATCGACTGAAATGGTTGGACCACCTGTTGCGTATGCCTGAATACCGATTACCACGACACGCTGTAAGAAAATTAAGAGCAGCCAAACCAAAACGTGTCATCAGTGCTTGAAGTCACTAACTTCTAGTCTGAACCATGTTGGTAGATGCAGACCACTTGGTTGGGGTCTGCGTGACTATCGTAACCAATGGTTGGAGACGGTGGGTGACATGGCCCAGAATCGATCACAATGGCATCGGTGTATACAATCTTTGTCTTCCCTTAAATTAAATTAAATTCGCTTCATATCTTTCTTTCTACAAACTTATTCTTTCTTCCTGTACTATATCCTTATATGCAATCTTTCTTTTTATGTATTACTATCATTGAAGTAACTAATTCTATGAATCTGGTGTTCATCTTGTTGTGCTAATGAAGTGTCGCAACTTGGACCGATGCTTATATGTGCCTCGTTCTACGTTGTAGCTGACTGACTGAGTTATGTGCGTCGGCTCAAATTGTCACACCATATTAGTGTATTGAAATAAAGATATCAAGCTGAATCCCAGAGTAGTAGAAAAGGTTAAGTGAAGAAATAAGTCGTAAGATTTTGGGATTCAGGGACTTGGAGAAAATAAATAGTGAGTACATCTGTCCTATTTTGTGAATTTTAATTCTACCCATTGATTGCGCGGATCCCAAGTAGGCAATCTGCACGTACCTAAGTGGTTCATGCCAATAGTCAATGACTTCATGAGCTGATGAACGTTGAGGTTTTGCCCCCTTCGCTTCCGTCCAACCTATTTCTACACCAACCATCATGACCCGTCAACGTAGGCGGTGGCTGGGCTGACGTAACACAAGTTTTAACCACCTCGTTTGATAAAGATTTACTACCTTAACAACCAACTACCCACCTTTACCAAATACTCTGCGTCCAACCTGAGCAGCTCTTATTCGGTAGTCCCAAAATGCATGGGCAATGATTCAAAGACATCTATGGTGGAATACTAGTAACCTAGGTATGTCTACTCTTAGTGGCCATGCTTCACGCTCATAAAGTAGAACGGACTATCCTAAACTACCTGCTTGAGTGTTTAATCTTGTCACGATTGGTACTTCTGAACGTTCGGCGTTCTGTAGTAGAGAAGAAATCTTCCTGTAAAACTTGTCCTTAACTTCACTCGAACTGCAGTCATTGAGAGCGCGGGCAGATACGACAATGAGACAACGGCGTGTGTCCCTATTTCTCCATGTTCTTACTTTCCTGTTTAATCTTTCATCTTCAGAGGCTATGTTTCACAGCCACAAGATGGAACAGAACGAACTGCTAAACAGTACACTCATCCTGAGATTGGCAGACAGAAATCTCGCCTACGCTATCGGTGGCACCAACACTTAGGTTATTCAATCGCAAATCAGCACATTAAGTAACACTTCTCAGCAACTTAACTGATTAGCCTCCTTTACAATGTAAATGTATGAATGCGATCAGTTTAAATACATGATTAGATAAACCCCAATGCTGACAAGAAATTTAATGCAAAGTTGACAAATGGTTCACTTACATGATAGGCTCCTAGCATGTTCTTTAGTTGGTCGCAAACTTTACAGCTGACTATATGTTTAGTTAAAACAGCTATAGCCATACGAATCAGGTTAGTGCTTCATGAAAATCTATTGTATTCCCAGGTAAGTCAGTGTTTTTAGTAATACTTAAAATGTAATGTACTCTGTCTCACGCGCGGTATGGAGTCTAAAATTGCCCCAGCATTGATATTATGCTTCTTATCTGAGAGTTTTGAAGGGATTTCAGAACTAAGCAGGTCCACAAATAATTCGACAGATCAGGTTTTAAGCTGAAATATTAACTCCTACCTCCAGAAACTTTCTACTAAAACTTATTTCGAGGAGTAGAAATTATTATGGTCAGCTAATTAAAGTTGTTAAATACCAGCTATCACTCAGTGGTTTTTCAAGACAACTTCGGGATATCCATAGGCGACTTCGTAAAATTGCTAGGCAAATACATAACCCTTTGCGTTATGAAAAATAAGAATACCTCTTCTGCCCATAATTTGATTTTTAAGGTTAAAAGCAGAATCTACTGTGATTACAATTCGCACATTATGTTCGCGTATTGTGCCGGTATACCAATTATAAGGGTGGTTACCTTTAACCTATTGGCTTTTATTATGCCTAATGATAAGTGTTATCACGGGCTTTAAATTTTACAAATGTTCATGAAATATATGCGTATTCTGGGTTAATGCCAAAACCTTAACGGGCATATAAGAGTTCGAGCTCAACCATATTTAGCAACAGAACACCTAAATCCTCAAACAAATGTTGTTTGCTGGTAAATTCAAATAACTGCTATTTGTTAAATAGATGTTTTATTCAAAGCACTGTACATATTTGGTATTCACTTTCCTTTTACTAAAATCAAGACATTTCAAAAGAATTGTGTTCCTTTAGACTCTAGATAATTTGCTTTGATCCTTTTCTTAACGCCTGGATAGCCTATTGCATCATATATCTGTTGACCTCGAAAACACAATGACTGTTTTACCAAACTGGGATACCGAACGGACATTCCTCTTAAAATCATGGAATATGAATTAATGAGTGTTCAACCAGGCCATATATGTATCCTTCACAAATTATGAATCTCTTTTAGTAAAGCTGTATAGCCTACTTTTGTGAACAACAAAGGATCAAACACATTTCTTAATTTAAATACACTACTTTCGTCCTTATCGTTTGCAATTACGGTTTGGCGAAGTTTCTAGGTACCCCTAATAATAGTTGACGCCGCCTAAAATTATCCACAATCTTATTGAGTAATCTACTTTGGTTTCTTAAAGACACCTGATTATCCCGAGCAATATATTTATGGTCAAACGAAATAACTCCCTAGATATACAGTAAGCAGAGACCCGAAAAATATCAAATCACAAATCAACAAAGGTACAAACAATTACGCGTTATAAATATGTATTTGAAAAACAGAAATATAACGAAACAGAACATCAAAACTAAAATACAAAGTCAGAAATATGTTTTTCCCTTTTAATTTGATCTTTTTCATCCAAATACACACTTACAACTGATATAGTTTGACCAATTGTCCTTGAAGCCCCACAAAGTTCAGCAACACTGCGCATACCGTCCTTCATTTGCTCTACTCCGTAAGAGATCCCTGCTCGCACGCGCTGTGCAGCAACAGAACTTTGGTTACGAAGAGATGCAACACTTTTCGCAGACTTAGCCCTCAGGTCCTGAAATTCACCGCGCAAAATTTTGACCCCATGACCAACATCATGACAAAGTCTGCTCCGGAAGTCCTCGAGCTTTTCACGAAAGTGTGCGGGATCAGGGTTTTCGACAGCTTGAGCTAAACTAGCTAATGCTTCACGATATTCTTGTGCAAGCTTTTCGTTCGATACAACTAACTTCACGTCCGCGCTCCCTGGACGAGGGAGACAGGGAACACAAAAAGTGTCAAAGGAATGAGAATTATCTGTGTCCAGTCGGACTCGGATTACACAATTTCCCGACCGTACACAAACTTCATATTTACACATTTGAGGGCGATTGAGATGAATATTAGCTTCACCAGTTCTCAAATTAGAACCATTCATAAGCGGCTGGTGAGTTTCCATTAACTCGAAGTTATGATCACCTGAAGTAGGTTGCGTAATATCATTTGGAGCAATACGTTCTATGTTTGAGTCATTAGTATTTATAACGATTATTTCACCATCAGGAGCTAATTGGCCTACGGGGACGTTTCTATCTGCGAATAATAAACCGGCTTCTTCAATTTCCTGGACTTTTTCGGCGAAATGAACTGTCCTGCACATGTTGCATTTCCAGTGAGTAGTTGGGCCAAAATATCTATTATAAGTCCATCCTGGGTTTCGCAGTGGGATTTCAAGTCTCTTATCAATAGTTTTATAATTTTGCGAAGTTTTTACACATTCTACTTCGGGGACCGGGATAACACCAACATAGGTTTTACCCTTAAATGCATAGGATGGTTGACGACGTCTGAGACAATGAGTTTCGCTGCAATATCTGATTGTACCCCCGATTATACCAACTAGCAATAACAGGATCATTCCACCATACCCATAGCAAAGCGACATGTAGTATATTTGTCCATAGTATAAACTGGAAACAACTTTGATGTTGATAGGTGTAGAATGACTAGTAACATCTGAAGAATGGGCAACGCACAACCATTTTCCACTTAAATATCCTCTTGTGTTCTCAACATCTAATGAGTTTATTGTGTCATTAACTTGTGTTATCTGTAACACTGTGGGGGCTAAAATGGGTTGAACGATGTAATGCACTGAATATGTGCTAACCTCGGATTTAATGGTGGAAAGGGAAATTACACCAATAGGCGAGACCCAAAAAAGTTCATAAGGTAAATCAGAATTTACATTACAAATAAAAGAAAGGCGTTGTCCTGTAAAGACGGAAACAGAAGAGTTACCATCAAATGACGAAACGTTAAACCCAGGTGGACTTATATATAAACCAGTATTCAACGTTGGTTCACATGGTGAGGGCCATGGATCACAAACAGGAAGACCATCGAAGCGGCCTTTTAATAACAACCTAGAATTAACACAGGAACACGCGATAGGATTGTCAGAAACAGAAACTTGAAGCGGATGCGGCAGGCTGGGTAAAGTATTTAATAAATTGTGGGAAAGATTTAAGAAGGCCAGATTTTCTGAATACTGAAAAGTGTCAACAGGCAATCGACTCAACTTATTGAGACTTAAATCAAGTATTTCAAGACTAGCAAGGCCAAATAACATGCCAAAACGTGGCAGTGATTGTATACTACAATTAGTAATTGACAACGTTATTAGATTAGAAGAAATATTGTTGAATGATTCGGTTCTTGGGATTTCCAAATAAATATCACTGATAAATAGCTCCTTTAGTTTGGGTAAGATGGAACTCCTTAAAAACCCAGGGGACAAAACTCGAGGGCCGGAGACCACATAACTGGTGACGAAAAGAAGAGATGTATTTTCCGGGCATAATTTCAACAATCCTTCGTGGATTATCAAGTCGGTAGATTCTAACACCAATTCAGCAATTGAATGATTTTTAAGATGGCAGGTTGTATTTTTACAATCGATCACGTAGATAGTTAGCACTATGACAAATCCTTTCTGGAATATTCCGTGCAGACCATAACTCATCACATAAATAAAGTGAAGGTCACAATTCCGTAAGCATTTGAAAAGAGGTCATTTATAGACAGTGAGCTGTTCAATAGAGCAAATGGTTGTTGACGGAATAGAAGAAGCTTTCGCTTCACGAGATTCTGTGTCTGGTAGCAGTGAATCATCAATACCTTCAGGCAGGAACCTAGGTACATTAATGATAAAAGAGGAAAAAGAAATTGATAAATTATAGTAAGGCATTATCCTTAGTCCCTAAGATTATGTCGAGTTTCCTTCAGTCTTCAGTAATAAGGATAGTAGGTTGATGAACCTGTGTTAATCCTGACACATTGCTTTCCAGTGAAGGTCCAGCTTTTCCTTGAAAGTATTCACTGATGGGGCTGATACCACTTGTTCGGGTAAGGCGTTCCAATGATTGACTACTCGATGAGAAAAACGGGATCCCACTTTAAGTTTATTAGATCGTGGTTTATGAACCTCCTTGTTATGACCGCGGAGATTATTAGTGCTGGAGGGAGCAAAAAGATAAGACATATTAACACCCAAATCACAATTAAAGATACAAAATGCCAGTATAATGTCACCTCGTGTCCTACGATACGACAAGGGGAAAAGATTTAGGCGTTTTAAACGCTCATCGTAAGGGAGTCTAGAAAGACCCTTCACTTATTTCGTTCCCACACGCTGGACACGCTCAAGGGAGTTAGTTTCCTTTACCAGACACGGGCTAGCTTCTTGGATACAGTACTCTAAATGTGGTCTAACATATATGGGATATAAAATTCGAAACGTTTCCTCGTCAAAAGATTTGAACGCTCGGCGAAGTGACCATAACGCACGAAAACCTTAGACAGCGGCTGCTTTGCAATGCGCAGTTGTTTTTAAGTCATGACTTAATATTACTCCTAAGTCCTTATGCTCTTGAACGCATGGAAGAGGTTTACCCTCAATAGTGTAACGGTAACTATTACCGTGACCGACGTGCATTAGTACACTCTTCCTAGCATTGATTTCTAAACCCCACTCTCGAGCCCATCCAACTAAATCGTCTAAGTCAGCTTGAAGATCCACATGATCAGCCGCACTTTTTATTGTTCTCCAGATTTTTACATCATCTGCAAACAATAATGTCGACGACCTAAGTAACAGTGGTAACTCATTAACGTAGAGAAGGAAGAGCAGAGGGCCTAAGATGGTGCCTTGGGGTACACCACTTTTGACCGGCTTCCAATCGGATAGCGTTCCATTGACCCTAACTCTCTGTCTGCGGTCACATAAGAAATTTCCTATCCACTCATGTACAGTACCTATTATTCCGAAGCTCGTGAGCTTCTGCATAAGACCTACGTGTGAAACCTTGTCAAACGCTTTGCTAAAATCTATGAATATCACGTCGACAGACAGACCGTGATCTAGGGCTGCTGTCCAATGCTCCCTCGCAATAAGCAAGTTAGTCAAGCATGAAAGCTTGTTACGAAATCCGTGTTGCTCAGGAGCTAACAGATTGTGTAAATCTATGTGGCTTAGCAACCTAACCCGAATTATCTTTTCGAGTAACTTAACGACTATGCTAGTTAGACTGACAGGCCGGTAGTTAGATACTATCTGTCGCTGACCGTCCTTAAATATAGGACTAACTATAGCGTCCTTCCAATCTCTAGGGAGTTGAGCGAGTGAGAGGGACATGTTGAAGAGTGTCGCAAGCGGTTTTGAAATAATGTCCGCAAAAGATGATAGCAACCGTGGATGTAACCCGTCAGGGCCCGGTATCTTACCAGGTTTGAGGTTAGTTATCAACGGAAGGACAGTTTCCTCAGTCACCTGTACAGATTCAATGGTTGGTATCTCGGTGTGAGTGACACAAGTATTTGTTACAATAAACGTAGAGTAGACTTCGCTAAAATAGTTTGAAAAAGTCTCAGCTTTTGCCCGATCTGATTCAGCTAGTAAATCTGAATTTTCGTGTATCAGTAAAGGGGTAATACCATCACTACGTTTCATCCGCCGTTTAACATACGAAAACAATCGTTTCGGACAAGTACGGCTATCATATACCAACTGTCGTTCGTAAGTAGTGCGGGAATTAGCTATGATTTTCTTACAAATATTCCGGAATTTTCGGTACACACCCTTAAATGATGCGTGACCCGTCATCAAGAATAAGTCCCAGAAGTGTTTCCTACGATTTAACAGCTTCCGGGTTTCCTTATTAATCCATGGAGGGCAATGTGATAGCTTACCTACTGACCGTGGGATAAACGGTGACGTTACGGACTCGAATGTAGCCTTAAACTTATTCCATTCATCTTCGATCAATCCATCCGCGTCGACCGACCAATCGGTCAAGATAGCACGGTTTCTGATTTCCGGAATATTAGCTCGCCAGATATTGGGACGGGGTGGAGCAGATACGAATTGTATACCATGCGTCCTAAACTTAAAGTGAAGTACAACGTGATCACTGTTCACTAGTGGAGGAAGGTGCTGGATATCAAAGCCATCCTCAGAGTGGTGGGTGAGGGCGAGGTCCAGCAGTGACGGAACATGTTGCAAATCAATATGTGTCGGTTTTGTGATACATTGTACAAGTGCACACTGAATAACGGTAGATAAAAGGTCGCTATCGAAACCACTACCTGGAGCTGTAAGCTCTATCCAGTTGATATGCGGTGCGTTGAAGTCCCCAATGATGAGACAACATTCTGCCATACTCCAAGAACAGATGTGTCTTAGGATAAAGTCGTCAGCCAGACAAGACGGACTACGGTATATTCCCCCTATAGTCACTAACCCATTTCTAGATTTTATCTTACAACATGCAACCTCACATGTGCCACTGATATGAGCCTCCGATATGGTTGATTGTATACGAAAGTGATCCCTAACGTAAAATATTATACCTCCCCCCTTGCGACTTGAAACTCTATCACTTCTGATACAGATATAACCAGCAATGAAAGGAGAACAGTATATATCTACGGTGAACCAAGTTTCTGTAACAACGATTATATCGAGACATAATTCTTGCACCATCAGACTTAGCTCGGATGTTTTATTTCTAAGACTACGAGCGTTCGTGTAGCACACACTTAAGGTGTTTTGGAAATCAATCGTTCTACCCATACAGGCCTCGGAAGCATTGGCTTCCAAGACCTGACTACCCGAAAACCCTTAATGGTAAGGTTATTTTCGCCATTTAATTTGCGAGTCCTCAACTCCGTAAGAGCATTCTTCCACTTGATTCGATCCTCAAGCAGCCAATCTAGTCGAATACGGATATTTGAGGCACGAGTTTTTAGTGCGCTTTTCAATAATATGTCTCTTTCTTCGAAACTCCCGAGAACCAGCTTCAGGATCCTTCTTGGTTGGGTCTCGCCTCCAACCCATTTATCAAGTCGTATTACTTTTGTAATATGTACCCCTGAAACCTCTTCAGGTAGTACATTCCTTACCACAGACTCCACTAACTGCAGGTCATGTGCGTGTCTTTTAACAGGGTCGTTGTCTTTCGACTCCTCTAGATTCCAAATAATTAAACTAGGGATGGGTTTAGCTTCTTTTGAAACTATGTTCACAGCTTTCGACCGTGACGTTAGATCCTGTATTTTAACTACTGGTAGCTCACGATTAGTTTTTATTTTAACAGAGTCCTGAGAGTCAAGTGAATGACTCACAACAATGTCAGACGAAGCTTTACTATGAGACTTTGGCGGATTGGTCTGAGAGTCCACCACCAGTCGAAACGTCTACATTAGAACAACTCGGGACAGTAATTGTTTTATCTGGGTCACCGGTTGCTGCTGTAGCAATGTGGCCACCAACGTCTAATGACGTGTCACCCACTGATCGTTTCGGGGGAGAACGCTTAACTGCGGGTTGCACAGGTAGATGTCTAGCTAGCGCCGTGATAGCACTTACGACACTAACGCAATCTTCGCCATCCGTACCAATGTTATCAATACAGTCCTCATCAACCTTCTTATCAGCCAACACCAGGAGACTAATTGCTTCCTGGATAAGCAATGTTTTGCTCGAGCAACAAAAACTACAAAGCCAATGAGAGTTGGGCTTTGAGCACCTTTTATATGCAGTGGGGCTTAATCGGGTGCACATCTTATGGAACCACTTATTACACTCATCACATTGCATCCCTTCATCCATGGGAAATAAGCAGTATGGTTGTCCACATTTATGAGTAGACCTAGCCATCTTGAAAATCAACTAGAACGGTGACGAAAACAGGATATGTAGAAGGATTTTCAAACCTTAACTAAATAAACCAAGTAAAAGTCGACCAAGTCTGCTTCGATGCAATAAATGCACAGAAGCAAAATCGAAAAACTCAATAAAATATCACTTTAACTGGGGTAGATGCAATTAAAGTGTAAACAGTAGTTTTGATGCGTAATTTACGATCAAAACAGTTAATTAACTCAACGAGAAAGAATACTACTGTCCTTTTAAATAGAGCGCGCGATTCCTCTTAAAGGACTCCTGAGAAGTCGCTCGGGCTAGCTCAGCTGGCAGCGAATTCCAGCATTTGGCTACTCTTAGGCAGTAGAAGTTGTGTCTACAGTCCGTTCTGCTGAGCTGTGTCACCACTTACTGAGTATTACTCCTTAGGTTTACGTTGGAGTGTTTAGACAGCCATAAGAAGGTCACTTTTAATGCGCCTGTACTCTAACGGGTAAAAATTTAATGATTTCAGGAGCTCTTCATAAGGCTTGCATTCGAATCTGCAGACTGATTTCGAAGCTCGCCGTTGGTTATGTTACAGAGTATCCTTATCCTTTTGACGTGAGGGAGAAAATAATATGTTTCAGTACTCCAAATGGGGATGAATTAAACTGTTGAAGATTATTTGAAAATTTCTTTCGTCAAACTGTTCGAAAATGCCCTCAATGTTACCAGTGCAAAGTTTGCTCGGAAGGCATTTTTTGTCACAGCGTAAGACTTCAAATCCTAGGGTACCAGTACTCCTAAATCTTCTTCAACTTGGGGTCCTTTAAGAGAGAAGTCGCCTAAGTTGTCTTTTGCGGCTTAGCAAACGAAGAGTGAGGTTCTTGTTGACTGTAGGTTGCTTATAGATTTTGGGGATCATTTGAGGAACAAACTACTCTGTAGCAC